TCTTGGATCAAATTGTCTATGGATAGTTTTTTCTATTGTGACTGACACTGTTACTACATCAACTAGGCTAATAATTTCGTCTTACTATAATGATTTGGTATGGAGACTTAAAACGATGCATATATGTCACAGGCTCCATGTTGTCTATGATCAATATTCAGTCATTGTAAGTGGACATGATCGAACAAAGTTAAAGACTTTAAGGCTAGTCAGGCATAAATTCCCAAGGTGCTGCCATCATCAACTTACAACAATTAACGAACTATTTGAAAAATAAATCTTTATCTTTCACCCAGAAAATGACACCAAAAATTGCCTTTCAACGTATATGTTATATCCTAATGAAGATTAAATAACGGGTAACTTCTGAGAACTATTAATAGACTAATATTATATACATAATCTTACTGTATAACTATTCAGTAACTAGATTATATATATACACATATATTCCTCTTATTATAAGCTTTATTTTGACTTATGGACTATGATGATATGATTTACTATTCTTAAATCATATTCAGTTTATTAATTAATGACCCCCACAATCACGGCCACTTTTTTACTTGATCTTATACAAATGTTATTTCCTATTTTACGGTGTGATGTGGTGTTTGGGTTGTATATAAACCAGGTATGTTTGAAACAAATGATTCATATAGTGAAAGCTGGTATTGGTGTTCTGGACTCAACTGGCGGGGCTAGGAGGAGAAAGGACCAATAAAAACACTAGGCTACTCATACCGGTCGATAAGTTTGGCACAGTGCTAAGATTGTCGTATTCTGATTGGTGAATAAGTCACATGATAATTAGCACGGCTAGAAGTCACAACACTATATCAGGAGAAATTCGCGATTAATCTTTATGAAATAAAGTAATCTTTGCACAGTTTTAGTAAAAGCCGTTTAATTTTAGGTAGTTGTAAGTAGTCGACAGGAAACCCTGGTTATGTGACAGATGGCACTCATCAGCAAGATTCGGAACGTGACCTGGATAACTCACCTCAAAATTTGAAACAGTGATACAGGCCCATATTTCACAGGTAGCACCAGTTCCTTCAAAACTACAGGTGCACCGTATTAACAAATGCTAAACAGAACGAAATTGGGTTCAGGGTTTCTTGTCAACTACCACCACCTTACATCTCAGCAGTGTACGCGAAATCGAGTCACTTGGACCAGTGGCTAAATTTCAACCTTGTCGATAGAAATCGGACAGTACTGAAGAAGGACACGACATTGGTGACTACTTAATAATTAAGCAATTGTAAAGACCTTCTTAAAAAAGTACGGTAGAAAATTCTAATTGAGTTTTACTGATTCCGAGTACTGCCAAGTTGTATCTCCTCATTTCCGTTGCTATTTGATTAGTCTTCTCGGTCTCCTACATTGTCTGGACGCTCCATGTACCTATAAAAATTGTTGCTCTGGTTGTTAGAAAGAGCATAGCAATCGTGACTTCCGATGAATCTCGGCTTTCATAATTCTTCCCTCAACTCCCAGGGCAGAGTTTAAATGGTTTAGTTTGGTTAGCGTTTTTTAGAAAGATTTTTTTCTACAGGATGGGGTTGCCGACCCAATGTCCACCATCCTCCTTTACCCGGGCTTGAGACAGGCAGTAACTCTAGAAGAGCTACAGGTGGAGTAGGTCCTTACTTCTCCCATAACTCTAATTACCAGTACCCTACATTACTCCTAAATTTACCAATTAAGCATTAACTAAGATTAATCAGAATTCGATTAACTAAACTACCAGTAATATATATGACAATTGTCTATTGTGATGTCGTTGCGATCACTGACTGCTTCTGAAAAGCATTAACTTTAAACGGCACTGAATTGGGAGCACTTTGACGAACTTAGTTTAAGAAATGATATGGTGACTAACTTGGTGAAAGACACTAACGAGTCGGAAACAATTCCTCATCCCTCCTAACCAGTTTGATGGAAAATCGATTGAGAACCAGTCAAGAAGCCTGAAATGGTCGCCCGATTTGCAACGAGTTTTAAGATCGGTAACTAAATTGACTGGAAATTTTAAGCTAGATTTTCACTCAGGTCAGTAGTAGTTCGGTGGACACTACTAAACACCAGTCTTAGTACAAAAAGCTTTGTAATAAGCTTTTGCGAACAAAAAAGATTTGCAGTTTGATGGGAAAAACCAATTAGACTTTCGGTTAACTTAATTCAGAAATATGACATACTAAATGACTTATCTTAAGATATCAAGCCACCAAAAACCTATATTGGTTATTACACCCTGAAGTTATTCATACTAAATCGATACCGACCCCTGAAAGATAGTAAATAGTTTAAATGATTTATGAAACTTTTAAGACTCTTCATTAATGTCTTTGAATAGATCATGTCGTTCGAAATCGACACCGAACACATTATTTATCTCTTACCATGAATAAAAATCCTATCTATTAAATGCTCATAATTTTACTTAAACTCACCTCATTTCTACCTAATACCGAATTAATTTATTTGTTCGACAACTGCTTGTTTCATAGCAACCGTATCCCTAAACTCTAAGGAGGTACTTGATTTCTAGGATGTAAAGGTTATGCGAAAGCACGTTCATTAAGGTTAAATATGAACCTAACATAGTACATAGAAAACGTACGTGGAATTCCGGAGTCGTAATAAAAATTAAAGTTTACGCTAACCCGTGAGACTCAATTAAAGACCTTTGTTTGGTTTGGCATCACTTCCAACTCAACACAGAGCCACATCTTCATTCATTAATTCCAATACACCAGTAAAATTTCTGATGGAACGAATGATGGGGTATTTTTGCTGCATGAAAACGCTATTTTAAGGTATTTAGTTTCTCAGTTACAACTAGTCTCTTGCCTATTCCAAATGAGTCTAATGAGCACTTGGTTTAAGTCTCCAATTTATGCTACACGTAATAAATATGAGTTGTTTCGTTTGGGATTAAGCGCTTAAAATCAAAGAGGGTTCCACATGTTAATTAGATCGATATAATACTTGAATAGATCATACTAAGCACTTCTATAACAATTCCTGAAGATTCTATGTTTTCTGAAACTTGAGCATTAGCAGGAAAGTGAAATACCTTGAAAATAAAATACTTAAAGGGTCCATCATAATAATTTCAAGAAACTGTTAATCTCGTGAGTATAACTATGGATTAGTACCTGGAGCAAGCAACTAGACAAAAGTGTATTACCAGCACAATGTAAACTAATTGACCTCTGAGCAAACCGAATTAGTATTTTTAAGGGAACTAATTCGGTTTGCTCAAAGGTCAATTAGTTTACATTGTGCTGGTAATACACTTTTGTCTAGTTGCTTGCTCCAGGTACTAATCCATAGGTATACTCACAAATTAGTATTTTTAAGAGAACTATATGCCCCCAAATGCCCTAGTACGGCCGAGAGTGGGGAGAGTCTGCTCTCCCTCTCGAAATGCTCTCACATGGCCACGCGTATATAGCCTCTGCCAGGGAAGTCCTACTCACTGCCTTCTCGTGGCGGGAGTGTTGTTTACAAAAATGAGAGGACGAAAAGCGAATGTCCGGTGCTTTAACCGGATTCCAAACCAATGGTGCACATGGGCTCCAGTATCCTGCGGGAACAAATGGCGTATGAACCAATCGTTGGTCACCGGCTTCCATGGGACTGCATCTCCTGACGATGCTCCACAGCCTTGTGGGTCAGACCTTCAGGTCGAAGGCTCGGGGAGTGGCATCCTAAAATAACCACCTGCTTCGGTTTGGGTACCCGGGCAGTATCACAGCCCCCCCCTCGAATGAGATTTGTGTGGCGCCTATGTATTTGGTGCCTCTTTGTACCAATATCTGTGTTGAAATAAAAAAGGGAACTATATATTCTGAAATCTAAGCAGCTGACAATGAGTTGTATATCATTTGATAGAGTATATACGTCTGGTCGATCACACAGATAAGAACCATTGACGATTTCTAACTAATTTCACAAATCAGTATATAGACAGAGACTTAGTCAAACACTGGCTCACAATAAACACAGTATCAAAGCTTAGCATCCTTGTTAGTGAGCAGGGATTTTCCAGTAGATAGTACAGCAAAATAAATAAGATTAATTTACGACCACTGTTTACCATACAGCCAACTCGCCTTTACTTTATTTATCTCCGTTACCCGAGAAAACTACTCACTGGATTATAACTAAAACTATTTGATAATCGTTTTCTATAGCTATCTAACCATGAGACAGCATCCGAAACTAATCAGAGTGGTATGTCAGACAAGGAAAGTAGTATCGTTTATCACCACACAGATATTTGAGTAAGATTTATTAACTTTACACGGTGCGTCAATAAAGTTTATATGAAATGAAGCTTGATAATCTTGCAGTTGTTTAATGTCTTATTACGAAACAAAACCCGTAACTCTTCATGTTGAACAGAAAGTAGTGAGTAAATACCTGTATATCACATCGTCACAGTTTTCCGACAAAAGCCACCATTCTAACTTTGGATGATAACTCATTTTCAATAACATGGCTCTGTATGAATTAAAATTTCTACTTCTCCAGAACCTTAAAAAACAATAACTCCCGGTGTATGTACACGTATTTATGTGGGACTAGATTTAATCAATATTGCTGGGTAGTCCCAGACAACTTACACGCAGAGAAACAATTACAAATTTTGCAACGTGGGTGTCAGGTTGCGTGGACCTTTGTAATAATTAAGTCACATTCAGAAAAAAAACAAGGATGGATAAATACCAAACCACTGAAGGTTGGACAAGCAAGAACAGCTAGACACACAACTAGCCAAATATAGGACTTCGTTGGTTGATAGAGAATCATGTGACAATTTATGGCCGTGGCAACACAGGACTTTTATATCATAGTAACCAGCTACATGCAAACGTTGTAAGTAGTTATGAGTAAATACATAATTTAACCTGATCCGGGATATTAGATATATGACTAAATACCAATAAGGAACTAAAAACAGGAACATATAACCAAAGCAATATGAAGTGACAGTAGGAAGATTGTAATAAATTTACCACTTTTACGTTACAGTACGTGACAACAGCTTTGCTCGCAAAGTAGAAACAGTTAATATGAAAACTTATTACGCATTGGTCAGATTCCTAGTTCGTATTGATATAGTTTACCTCATGAGTCAAGAATACCAGAAATTGTTGAATTATCCAATCATGTATATTAAGATAATTAAAAACCAGCACTCTCCTTCATTAGTTGCTTCTTCATCTTTTTCTTAGATTCCTTCTTCTTTACTAACTGTGGTGCAGCTGCAGGGACCTTAGGGACAATATCATCTTTCGTAGCAAGTATGACTTCTACATGGCATGGTGAGCACATGTAAGGATTTATACGACCATGGGCACGATAAGTACGACGTCGCATTTTAGGTGCTTGGTTTACCTAGTCGAGTCATAAGAAGGTAGAGATGTTACCTGGATGTGTTTGATATACAAACGACTGGCTTCTCCTCCTTTTATATCTTTGTATACACCATTGCTGAATGCATTGTGCAGAAGCTGAAGAAGCATCTGAGCTGACTTCTTAGGCCATCTACCCTGAGTTGTTTTCCAGACTTTTGCCTGAGCATGACGACCAACGCCACCATTGAATCGTCGGAAAGGAATGATCTCTTTTTTCTCAATGACATTTTTCAAGTAAGTTTGAGCTCGCTGGAGAGTCATCCCCTTAAAAGTTAATGAGTTAATGTGTTTTCAGTTACCTTTACTGCACAAGCACACTCATGCATGTTTTTGAAATGAGTCCTTAGATACGGGATTCTTGCTTTGCAAGTTTTACTTTCATCTTCATCCTTGGGTTCCCACGAGTACTTTACCATTATGCCTAAGATTAAACGGCGCCGAAAAACGTGGACGATCAAACTGCCCGCTCACAATAACTGTGAGACAAAAAACAACGTCGAGCTTAAATGGGTTCAAATTTCACTTGGAGTATTTAATACCTTCGGAATTAGGAGACAGTTTAGGGCCGACCACTGTATGTATAATAACAGGAGTATCTTTTTTTCACCGTTGATCACTTAACAAACCAGAGGATATAGTGAAGTTTCACTCCCGAGCCTTAGGTGGAAAATGACTTGAACTGCTCAAATTTGTTCTTAGTATGAACTTGATATCTGAACGATACATAAATTATTTATTGTCCACCATAAAACAAACAATATAGTTTCACAAAGAGTTGAAACTGAAATGCTACTTAGATTAGTGAAAAAAACCTGTTACGGTAAATAAATCACCAAAATACGTAGTCCTGAAAGTTTTCGACATTGCTGCCAACCTCTTAGGTTTTGTTGGATACGTATCTTCACCAGATCACGAGTAGGGATGCAGCGCTTAGCATTTTTGCAACTACCAGCCAGTTTACCTGAAACTTTACTCAAAGTGTCGACAATCTTCTAGACATATATCATCAAACTCAACCACCCATAACCTCTGATTTGACTGGGTTAGTTAGTGTTACAGACAAAGCTGTCGTAAAACTGAGTATATGTGGCATCTTTCTACTCGCCGACGCAAACACCAATCATCTCCAACATGTTTAACAGTAAGTTGTCAAACGCCATAATGTATACGAAATTCTATTAGGAAGAGCTCGAAATTTAAAGCTCAAGAAAGTAGGACAACAAATAGACCCATATTTATGATGTTAGTGTTAAACACAAAGACTGGTATTAAATAGTTAACTAAATTTGGTGAACTTGTAGCACTAAATAGATCCCCAAGCCAATAGTCCTGTAAGTCTACGACATTTGATGTTGACCACATTATTTTTAATGAGCTGAAGGCGCTCGGTCACGCATCCTCACCAGATGACGAGTGGGAACTCTGTGCTCAACTTCTCCTACAACCGGTAGCCAGATTAGATCAGTTACTTCTCGATTTGTTGATAGCCTACCAATTATACCTTCGAAACTCTTCGCTTCTGACTTCTGATTTCACTGGGTAAGATGTTTTCAAAGTCCGAAAACTTTGACATTCTTAAGCTCCTTCAAAACCTGGATCATAGGTGATTGTTTCGATAACGAACTCTATTTAGACTATTCTCGGATATTTCATATAGACAAATTGTGCTTTTTGATACAAATCCTTCCTTACATGTTATCAAATCTTGTCCTTTGGAGAAAACATCTGAAATATATTTTCGAGTAACATATAACGTCTAACCCTACAACAAAGCCCACAAATTGGAGCTGTAGCTTCCAAGACTACTTCTTGTATTTTATCATGTTGTTCTTTAGTATTACCATAAGGACTAAATTCCCGATGTTCACTTCCGCATTATCAGCGAGGCCTAATGAATGAGTAGCGAGGTAAATTTGGTCGTTTGTTTGGTTAAGATTTACCCCAGTGAACTCGCATCTCATCAGGACTTGAAAACTACTCACAATACGTTAGCAAATTTGGACAGTTTTTCATTATCATCTCAGTTGAATAATGTGTAACTGGTTACTGAACGTCCATATATTGCACATGGGTCATAGAAGATTTAACTATTAACGAGGTGGATGGTTCTATCATCATAAGAAATATGCCTTAGAGTTTGGACGACGTATTGATCATTAACGTCCTCATCTTTTGCTCTCGTTTTGAAGCATGGAAGATTGAGTTTCCTCATTTATTTGACTGTTGTCGATGTTTTCGCAAAGGTTTTCGGAAAAAAGCTAAGTGCGCTTGACTAAGTACTTCTAGTATTCCAATCTTGTGTTTAATTCTCGCAACTCTCCCTTCTTAACTGGTTGAGACCAGTTTAAAGGTATAGATTCCTAATTTTTTTCCTTCATCACGCTTTCTTCTAGTGTCCGCTGAACTACAACAGGCAGTTAATGGGCTAATGAGTTAGTGATGTTACAAGTAGAAACCCGATATTTTCAATATAGCCATTAAATCTCAAGCGTCACATCTTTAATGTTGATTGATATCATCTGATCGGTTTGAGGAAGTTTCATAGTCTGTTACTGCTGAAGTTTAGCATAACACAATTTAAAGATAGGCTCAGCTCGACCGTAGGACATATTATAGGTTTCTATACCGTATAACAGAATCGTGTAGCTACTTAGCTGACATAGGCCTTCCCGAGAGCTATGCAATACAGTACTCCTGATCCTGATCTGCACTAACTTTGTTACCAGCATTCATGTTACCATATTGAAACATAACCGTTAAAATTAATTTCACTGATGCGCTACCTATGCTCATAACTAGGCAGGAGTTTAATCATGCCTAGTGTCTTCCCTGATAATGAAGTTTTCAGGATTCACAATAAAAGCAGTTTACTATGTTTGTGCCATTTTATCCTCACCTATTTCTTTTGATAAAAGGAACATTAGTAGTTTCATAGATTTAGTGCGATTTCCTATTTAAATAGCAATTCTCCAGATTGTTTACATCATAAGTTCTGTGAGATTAATTATTCATTGACTTTGGTCTGTTTGAAGAACCACATATCTCAAAAAAACGTAGATGACACTAAGGCAAAGGAACCCAATCTAATTAGCCTCAATATACTATTAAGAGGAAATATTGGTGTAACAAACTATATCAGGTACCTAGGAAATAGTAAAAGGCAAACAATTACCACCAAGATGACTGAATGCTTCGAAAGTGCGAATAAATCTTCATCTTTAGACATAATACTAAAAATGAAGGTATTATGTCACAAAACAATTCATTGTCAAACTAGAGCAGGAATTTGTGTAACAGAGATGAATTCATTCTGTTAACTGAACTTATGTTACTTAAATGAGTAAAAAGATGTTTATTCCAACAGCATTAATTGTTTTCTAAAAGCGAGGTTTCAAAGATCATTCTAGCTATTTAACCAACTACAGCTGTAAAGTTTGTTATCTGAATTTTGTTCCATTTATTTCAAGAGAGGGAAACTGTCATTTTATTATAACAAAAATATCTTACTATGAATTATTTCCAGCCACTTAACATCTCAGCATAAGGCAGGCAATGTCGAGTTACTCAAGTTAGTGATCAGATTGATCAATAGAGTTAGTTCGGCATTAAGACTAGACAAACATAACAGTAACCATTACTTGGTGATACATTAGTTGTAAGGTTACTTACTTACTTGCTTCCCCTACTTCTTTTTACTTACCTGATTAATTAATGGATGGATTAGTTGACTATATGAGCCTGCTATTCCACCAACCAGAGTTGAAATGTATAGAACTTTACAAATTAGATCGAAAAGAGAGAGTACTACTCAAAATCTCTCATTGAAAGTAATTGGAATTAGGGCTGATCAATCAAATATATGTACGATTGACCGCTAATATTTTTATGTTGATATGGTGGGAAGAAAAGTCAAAATTCAATTGATTTACTCATTATGATTTTTGTTCAACATTAATTCCGTTTTAATTCAGTGTAATATAGTACTTGTTTCGTTTTCTTGTATAACATTTCATTCTGTATAACTTATGATATTCTTGTATTAAATTAACACGAATTATACTCAGCATATGATTTTTTATATTGTAAGTATTTTTGATATATGTGATTTCATTCTAATTATTAATCAAAAAATGGATGTATGAATCAATATATAAATGAGTGTATTTTTGACTAGAGTCGTTGTCGTCATGTTTCGAGGTTACTATAGCAGAGCTTAGGAGCCAAATCTAGCATTCAATCTAGAAAACACTTCATATATCTTTTTATACATTTTATATTTTACATTTAATGAAACCAATTAAATTAAATACATGAAATGAAACACTAAAAAGTAAATAATTTCTGTATTACCGATATCATTAATAACAATATGAGTATAATAATTTACAATGTTTCTTCTTATCTTGAATACACTTAGATAAATCAATTATGCCTAACAAAATTCAATGTTTCAATGCTTCATTTAGAAATAAACTGAACAGAATGAGTACACTTATGATGATGATTATTATTATCTAGAATTATGGCACTTTTTAAATTTCTATTTCTCAAATATACTTGATAATATGAGGGGAAAAAAGTAAAATTATGGTAAATTCATTTTAGAAGAGTTTTCCCCTATAAGATTAACTATAAATAAAATTATACAGTTTAACTAAATGAAATCATAGAAAAAGAAAATGGATTCATATTTATGAAATAGTTTATTTACTCATTCAATACTTCCATTTAAAGAAACCAAAGTGATAAATCTGTATTGTTTATACAATACATACGCACACACACACATAGATACCAGTTTCAAATAAATGACATAATTTTTGATGGTGGAATTTGTAATTCATAATTAACCTGTTTAATAAAGAATGGAATAGTAAACATGAATTTAAGTACAATGGTTTGTTGTTAATAATAAATAAAAGTTTCAATAGTTGAGATCATAAGTCAATTGAAGCTAGACCATCATGGAAAACCTGGAAGCATTGGACGGCCATTTCGTCCTATTGTGGGACTCCTCAGTAGTGCGCATCCATGACCCCGCCCCGCGGGTCAGTTTTGAGGTAGTAACTCACTGATGACAGTGGTGAATGGGTCGCTCAATTTCGCTCAATTAGTCGACGTTAGACATTGACACCGTTGGATGCCGGCCCAGTGGTCTAGTTGGTTAACACCTGACGCGAGACTGATAGGTCCTGGGTCCGAATCCACGAGGTGGGGTCGTGGATGCGCACTGCTGAGGAGTCCCACAATAGGACGAAACGGCCATCCAGTGCTTCTAGCTTTTCCATGGTGGTCTAGCTTCAATTGACTGATGATCTTAACTATTGAAATTACTACAATCTTCACAAAACCCCTTCTGATAGGAATAAAAATCTAAATAGTGGATGGGTTCAATGGATAGAAATCATTGATTCCTTAATCAGTTATTCTACATTGATTTAAATACATAAATGTTATCTTAGCACAATGAGATGAAATCAACCAGATGACAATAATAACGGTTACAGGAATTGTAAAGAAACAAATAGACAGATTGATTCCACGTATTGATTAAATTGCTTCTAATCTTCTTTTTCTTCTTCTTTTCGCAACTATCTCATCCATTACCGACTAATACAAATTCGGTTGGACAGTAATTGAATATACGCAACTGTAGTAAGAGACGACTTAACTATGAGGTAAAAACTTTCAGAGCTATTGTTTTTTATTTTTATTTTATTATTTTCTTACAGCATTTTACACTTATAAACTAGAGCCGATTGTTTGTGTACCCAGTATTACGTTTTTCACATCTTTAATTCATTATCCCATGTAAAAACCTTTACATATTTGGGCAGCATCATTGATGAACACGGTGCATCTGATGCAGATGTGAAAGCGCGGATCGGTAAAGCAAGAGCAGCATATTTACAACTGAAGGACATCTGGAACTCAAAACAACTGCCAACCAACACCAAGGTCAGGATTTTCAATACAAATGTCAAGACAGTTCTACTGTATGGGGCAGAAACCTGGAGAACTACGAAAGCCATCATCCAGAAAATACAGGTGTTTATCAACAATTGTCTACGCAAAATACTTCAGATCCGTTGGCCGGACACTATTAGCAACAACGTACTGTGGGAGAGAACAAACCAGATCCCAGCGGAGGAGAGATTAGGAAGAGGCGCTGGAAGTGGATAGGACACACATTGAGGAAAGCACCGAACTGTGTCACAAGACAAGCCCTCACATGGAATCCTCAAGGCCAAAAGAAAAGAGGAAGACCAAAGAACACAGTACGTCGAGAAATGAAGATAGACATGAGGAAAATGAAGAAGAATTGGATGGAACTAGAAAAGAAGGCCCAGGACAGAGTGGGTTGTAGAATGCTGGTCGGTGGCCTATGCTCCATTAGGAGTAACAGGCATAAGTAATTAAGTAAGTAATACTATTATACAATTGGTTTTCTGCGTGGTCTGGTCTTGTGTACATATAAATGAATGTCTAAAATATAATAACGATTTCGAACTGACGATCATTGATCTTATGTTTTTCCGCTTTGTTTCATGCTAATTATTATTGGGCCAACTGTCAAGCATAGAGTATCAGTCTTCAGCATCCTTGCCGCGTATTGGTTGATTAATGTCGTGGGTTGTTGGACATAGCAGTAATATATTCAGTGCTTTCTTGTAGTTTTCTAGACTATATTATTATTTACAAGTAATTATATCAACATTTCGAATACCCTCAAAAGGTGGCTTCTCCATTCATCAATTTATTTTAAAACAGTGAGAAGGAATGCAAATTTTTCATCAGCTAAATCAAGCGACTAGAGAAGCAAGTTATCATCTATCCTATTAGTTTTCAAACAATGATCAGCCTGCCTAGTGTATAGACTATCATATCAGTTTAATTGTATAATAATTACAAATTTCCTTTAGTTTTCCGGGCTTCTAAAAACTTTAACGATGGGTATTTTTGTACTTTTCAATACTTTGAACACTGAAAGTTGTTCTTTGAAGATTCTAATCGATTTATATTATTATTGCTCAGTATTTTAAATACTTGTTCAGTGAACTTAACTAATAACCACAGTTTTGAGTAGGAACGTAAAGTTTCGCGGAACATATATATTTTAAATATAACATGTTTAATGTACAAATCCTCATTTGATTGTTGAATTAAACTATAATTTAAGATATCATTCTTTGTATCTACTCAAATGACATTTATCTTCATTAGAAAATGCACAAAATTCCAACCGATACTACTCAAGGTAGTTTTACTGTTGATTAATTTCACTGTACTATCATTCTCATGAATTTCCTATATTCTACTCTCATAAATTCAAATACAAGCATGGAGTTTCTAGGATCCATGATTAATTTAAGATAAAATGTTCTTGGTACAAAGTTTAAATAATGAAATTACTAGTTCTACTGATTTTCTTTAAAAAAATAATCAACATATATTTCTTACCTTGGAATTCATATATTGTTGTAATAAATGTCGTAGTTCAGCATTTTGTTTTCTTAAACCATCTGTATCATGTATTAATTTGGCTCGATGTTTCAGTACATTGTAATATTTTTCTAAAGCTAGATATAAATTATTCCATATATCTTCCCATTCTTCAGTGACTATGTTCTGTCTATATAAGCATATATATATATAGTAAGAATGAAAAGAATATTGTTAACATGTATTAAAAAGAATATTTTTCATTTATAATTTTAGAATGGTTGAATTCAGAAGTCGATGTAAGCTACACCACGATTGAAAACCTGGAAGTACTGGATGCAAGATCATGGATCAGTTGAAGTCGAACATTAATGCCTTTGGATATCGGTTCAGTGGTCTAGAGGTTAAACGTTCGCACGTCCGGGTTCGAGTCCAGCGTGAGGGATCGCGGATGCGTACATCTGAGGAGTCCCACACCAGGACAAAACGACCGTCCAGTGATCCGATTTTTTCAATCGTGGTCTAACTTACATCGACTGATGAATTCAACTATTAAAATTACTACAATCTCCACAAGTCCGCAATATATTTCGAACAACCTGATCACACATATACTTGTTAAGAACATTGATATATTAAAGGTCGACTAGACTGGAAACGGGGTAAGAGGAAACAAGGATAATAATACGAGTAATAATAATGTGAACACAATTTGAAACCTGGTCACTTTGGATAATAAGTCAATATTACCAGGGTAGGTTTAAGATGAGAACAAACTGTTTTTGAATACCCCATTTCCAGTCAATCAAGGTTCTGAACAAGTATATATGTGATCAGATTGTTCGAAATATATTGCGCTAATATATATTATCACATAGTTCTGGTAATCTTCGTCTTCTTATTACATTATCGAAATCCATTATTATTTTTGCGTTTATGACTAACTAACAGATTCGCACTGCTCCAATTGATTTTAAACTTTACCATCTAAACTCAGCAACCATTGTTTCTGATTACCTCATAGACGTCAAACAAGAAAGTTTTACGAGAAGACAACTGTTAGAAACGGGCAAATGAACCAAAAAAGGAGATAATTTGAAATATATTCCCCACGGATTCATTATCGATAATCTTTTTTGAGTAAAGACTAAGCTATTATTATTGTTCAATACTTAAGCGCTAATTTAATTTACTGACTGTCGATATATCATTTAAAATCCATCAATTATATTTAATTACTTGTATACTTGTTACTCAGTTTTTGTACCACAAATGACCTGATGTTTTGTACAGATTAATGTTTATTGTTTATGGCGCGTTATGATTTTATATTTGACGTAAATGATCGTTATTTTGGGAAAAAAACAGATTGCTAGGTTGGGTTGTATCGAGTGCCGTCTGATTGAGACAGTGGTTCTATGGTCACTCTCTCACACACACACCTGTATTGCCAGTAGGACTAGTGACCTTCCATTCACCGATCGACATAACGACCAATAAACAACAACCGCAATTTTAACGTTTGTTGGTCCTCGAGATTATTTTAACCCATTGGACAATAAGAAAACGAAGATATAGAACAAACGTTTTCTATTGCTCTCAATTATTAGAACAATTCAATTATTATGGTGTGTAGATAACTCGGTTGCAAGTGATACAAGATCAGAGAAATAGGGGAATAAATAATTAATGATAAATCTGAAACCATAATACATATGGTAAAAATTTATGGATCAAACAAAAGCTTAGAAATGGTTCATAGAAAATACTACAATTTAAGCATCATTTACGATTTTCACTTTTACATTATTAGTTCCACTAAATGAATAATCGTCTGAGATTTTTAAGTTTGAATCGGTTAAACATTTTCGTTTTCTGATTATAAAGCTAGTGACTAAAGAAATTTCAATTATTTTCAGTATGATATTGTAGAGATTGTTGAATTTCATTAAGATCATGAACGTAAAGGCACTAGATGGTCATTTTGTTCTAGTATGAGACTCCTCAACAATGCACATCCACGATTCCACTTAAGGAAACCAAAAACTGTTGAATCCCGGTTCAGTGGTCTAGAGGTTAATCATTGGCGCAGGCGCGCGAAGCCGAATATTCTGATTTAGAGTCCCACGTACAGAATCATGGATACACGCTGCTGAAAAATCCGACACTAAGGTGAATCAGTCGTCCAGTGCTTCCGAATCTTCAATGATAATCTCACTTAGATCGATTTATAATTTTAATTCAAAGCAATAATTTATATCAACTGATTAAATGAAATTTATTATTAAATAAAACAATTTTTGTTTAAAATTTCTTTTGGCATAAATCATATCAACTAATATTTTTGTTGTTCCATTTGTATTATTTAAACTTGAATTAATATTGATTTAATTATTTATTTGTTCTCTGAAGAAGTGGCTTACACTAAGTCACGAAACGTCAAAAAAAAATAATTTTCCTACTCATTAGGATATCTGCAAAGATAGTTATTTATTCATATCAACTAAAAGTCAGTCAGTAACAACGTAGGGCTTCGTATGTACGTACATCAGTTCGAGTTGCCATACCACATTAGCACATAGATACAATTGTCGATTTAAATCCTATAGTGGTAGAGGTAGTAAGAGTATAATCAGTAATCGGAAATATTAGGGTTCAAAGATGTTATTCTAGGAGTATAATCCAGTGAAATAAATTTGGAAAGAAAATAAGGGACATGAAGAATCCAGAAGATTAGAATTTAGGAGAACACAAAGAGTGGATACACCTGCGTCATTGCAAACGATTTTGAACCATGTCATTCAAGGTCTCTAACCATCGGTTGCTATCATCTCGCGGATTCGAACCAGTTAGTCTACACCTACCACTTATCAATGACTTCATAGATTTATGCCACGTTTTGGTCTGGCCACCCCTACCTTTCTTCCAACCTAAACCATAAAACATCACATGTCGAGGTAGTCGGTGGTTGGGCATACGTAACATATGTCCCAGCTATCTCACTTACTTATATTTATTCCAATAGATTAAATCATTTGAATCATTACGAATTCTATAATCATTAAATGTATTAATTTTATTAAAATTAAATGATTTTTTATTGATTTCAATATTATTTAATGATGATAAATTTTTCATTGTAATTAATGGTAAATTATTTTTGAATTTATGATTTAATTGAATACAAGTTTCTGTAGATTTTGTACTTTTATTGTTCTTATTATTATCATCATCACCACCACTACCACCATCATTATGATTATCGACGTTATTTTTATCCTCTGAATGTTTACATCTATGCATATCTTCAGTATATTGATATATTGCATCAATCACATGTACCGGTGAAATTAAATTCCATTTTAATGAAGATGTTTGAATTTCATGAGATATGGATGACTTTGGAAATGGAAAGAAGAAAAAACACCCAATAAAATCTGTTAGTTCTTTTATATAAAAAAACTTATCATTTTAATAGTTGAGATCATGAGTTAATTGAAGTTAGACCATCATGGAAAAGCTGGAAGTACTGGATGGCTGTTATGTTTATGATTGTTGTTTTTGTGTAAAAAGTGTTTTTTTTTTATATTGCAAATTAGTGTTGTCTTGAAGAATTCTTAAGCATTTACTACTGATGATGTTTCCAGAAATTATATATATATATATATATATATATATATATATATATATATATATATATCACTGTTAAGCTGTCGAGTTGAAATCAATTGAATAACATCATTTACTTCAGTTCATTTCACGATATTGTGCAACTATTTCAAAAATGTATTTAGTGAATGACTGAATACCACATTTCCAATGTAGTCGAACCTTATCAGTTACACTAAACTAAAATGCAAATAACTAAGTACTATTCTGTAATCTTGTCTCCAAACACTCTGGTATGGCCGAAGGTGAGGAGAGTCCGCTCTCCCTCTCGAAATGCTTTCCCATGGACACGAGTAAACAGTCACTACCAGGGAAGTCCTTTTCACTGCCTTCTCGCAGTAGGGGTATTGTTTACCAAATTGAGGAGACAAAAATTGCATGTCCTATTCTTTAACCGGGTTGGTGGATATAGAGGATCCACCCAGGGGAGTTGGAAAACCAATCGTGCACATCGGCGCCGGGATCCTAAAGAAACAAAAAGAGTATGATTCTATTGTTGGTCACGGGCTACCATGGGACTGCATCTCCTGACGTTGCTCCACTGTCTTGTGGATTAGACCTCTAGGTCGAAGGCTCGGGGAGCTGCCCCCTAAGAAATTCACCTTGTTTGGTTTGGGCACTCGGGTAGTATTCTAGCCCTCACACAAATCGAATGATTTATGTTGCACATATTTATTTGATGCCTCATTGTACCAATGTTTATCCGTTTAAGTAAATAAATATTTCATAGTTTGCGTGTTGTTACTTTGTTTGTTGAGCAAATGAAATTCAGATTGTTTCCTTAAAGAAAAATGACCTAAAATGTTGGGAAAATAACACTGACAACACTCATTTATATAAACAACTGTAAATGAAAATGACCTCAACTGACTACATTCAAGTGTTACTTCTTGAATCTCTTACAAATTGGTCGTTACTAATTAATTCATTTCTTCCTACTACGTAATGTATAAACAAGATTTAAGCAACAAATATGCATTAAATTGAAAACAACCAACAGCTTTAAATCAAAATATAATGTACTTGACATTGAGTCACATAGACTAGTGGCGACATCGGAACTTGACTAATTGGATTCGATTAGTATTAAGGATTAGACATAAATGACACTGATCACTATTAAGTGAACAATTTATATGAATACCCTAGTCAAATAGAAGGCCAGTTGTGGGACTAAATGGTCAGTGATGACATCTCAGATTGTGAAGTTGGATGATTCGGCTTCGAATGAGACATGGAGTATCCATTTCTTGCAGATTCCTGCTGTGAGTTGCTCACAAGTATCAATTGACACAAAATCTAAGTCAAATAGGATTCCTTGCTGACTACCTCCAACCATCAAGCAATTAAAATACATCAACTGAGCAATAAACATGAAAGTAATAAATACCTCTTAACAAGTGGTATCGTAGTAACAACATTAGACCAAACAATGGTTTGGAGAGAGATTTTTAAACTGTGTATATTATATTACAGATTAATCTTAGTTAAATAACTATTTAAAAACAGGGACCACTGGATTTTAGTATTGTCCTTCGGCAATGGACAACCATGAATCCATTGAGGATCGAAATCAAGACTTTTAAATCTTTTAGTGATAGTTTAACCTTTAGATCACTAACCTAACATTCAATATCCTACATATCTAAAGTCGATCAATTCAAAATATTGTTTAACCATCTTTTAATGCCATCGATTAGTAACTATTTCACGAATGATATGGTCATGGTCCAACAATTATCTCTTTCATCAAGTTATTACTAATTAATTATATGCCTAATTTAAAGACAAAACATTTTAATGATTGTTTTGTCCAAAAAAAATATATTTCATTTTTATCTAATGAAGTAAAAAATTAAAAGAAAACGAATACAAATAAAACAAAAAGTTTTTCTAAAAATTTACTTACTTCATCAGCTTTTATTTCATCATCTGAATGATCAATCTTTATTGAACATTTTCCATTAACAGTTGATTGAACTTTATTAACAGTTTCATTCATTTTATCAGATGATTCTTGTAAACTTTGTGAGCTGGTATATTTCGATGGAGATTTTTGAACAGATTCACCTGTGAAATTTGATTTAATTGGGTAAAATTTTTATTTAAAACTGATATGATGATTATGAGCAAAGATGGACAGTGGCTACCAGTGGAATCCAGGACGGGAGTTCCATCCTATTTCGGACTTTTCAGTTGGATATGCCTGCATCTCAGAGTTGATGTCCACTCTAGGACTCGAACCTAGTACCGTTCGCTTCAAACGCCATTGCGTTATCCACTTAGCTACTGAGTCCTGATAACCAACTGCTTGTGCAACGGGGTGATGTTTGAATTCGCTCAGTATTGTTTACTTGAATTTTCCCATTGATGATTGAGACTGCAATTGATCAGTCTCTTATTGGCATATGTGCATACTGTGCGTACTGCCTTGATATTGCCTTAATTCACTTAAGCTAGAGAACTATTGGAAACTAGAGGTTGGTGCAAATCTGTTTTGTGTTCGTTTTAGCCTCTTTAGTAGTATATTCCTAAAACCTACCTACTTCTTCAAGATTTCATTTGAGGTAGCAACACATTCCTACAATTGAAGAACGTATGGAACTCAAAACAACTGTAAACCAATATCAAAGTCAGAATCTTCAACACGAACGGCAAGGCTGTCCTAATGTACGGAGCTGAAACTCGGAGAACTACTACAACTATAATCAAAAAGGTGCAAGTATCTATAAACAGTTATTTACTCAAGATACTCAATTTTCGTTAGTCGAATACCATCAGCAACAGGCTACTGTGACAGAGAACAAACCAACTTCCACTTGAGGGGGAAATCAGGAAAAGACGTTGGAAGTGGATAGGACATTTTAAGCGGACATGAGACGGATGAATAGCACCTGGAAACAAATGGAAAGGATTACTCAGGACAGAGTTGGATAAAGAATGTTGGTGGGCGTTCTATGCTCCTCGAGGAGGGGTAACAGGTGTAAGTAAGTAAGTATCTATACTAAACGCACATTATTCGACAAGATAAATTGTTTAAAAGTAACAATTTATTGTTGATAATGTTTAAAGCATTCATTTGGACTTTAAAAGAAACCCCACCACTACGTCGAATTAATTAGTTTAATGTACATACTTCAATTCAATCAACATAATTCAGTTCATCATCTATGTTAAGATAGGACTTTGATTGGTATACATCGACTGTCTAGTGTGATCTGACAAAACACTTTAGCCCCCCTCCACTCGACAAACAAACAGAACCCACATAGATCATTTGTGGTACAAACTCTCATAACTAATAAATACAATAATAATGTTTGCAAAACTCCGGAACACTCTAAAGTTCAGTCGAATAAACACTTTTAAAGCTAAACGAACTAAATAAATACAAATCTTTATTGTTAATGGATGGCGAATAAACAAATCACTAGAAGTAAACAACATAACTAAGGGGACGTATTCCATCCTTATTTCTGACTTGTCGTTAGGGTGTACTGGGACTTTAGTACCGATGTTCACAATAATGTATGAATCTAGTACCGAATGAAATTACTATAGCATTTAATTATTGTAGTACCTATAACAATGAGTGGGTTAAGAATAGTGTACTAAGTAAATATGGGAAATCGATTGGTGAAGTGGTAAATATTCATCAACTGAGTTGACTGAGACATGTGTTATGTATTCTCAGCCACAGTCTACCTAGACGGTTGATGTTAATAGGTGCAGAGTATCTAGTTGTCATCCACATGATTATCATAGCCAATGTTTAGAAATTTCGAATAATATGGCTCAAAATCATTTGCAATGGTGCAAGTGTATCCATTCTCTGGCTTTCTCCAAACTCTGGGTTAATGAAATTCTCAAATCGTTTTTTTGTATCTTTATTTCACTAATTTGTATTTTCTTGAATCGTATCTTCGATGCTTAATCTTTACTATTATTAATGATACTGTTACGAACTCTACTATTCTAAAATTTGGCGTGACAATTTCATCTCTCCGTGCTTATGTGGCATAACAATTTGAACTAATGTACACATTTACAGGTTCTACGTTGTTACTGGCCGACCGACCGAGTACTTTCAACAATAATGGAGGTTGTAGTAAACTTATAATCCTTTAACAAATCAAGTATACATCAAGTTAATTTGTTTTATATCTGTAGAAAAATTAAATGCTGCAAATAACTGTGTTCAACTTTATTGAATTTTGAAAAATTCAAATGACAATAGAATAGTATACTTACTTGATTCTTCAATGGTTGTTGAAGGTACACGTTTAAGCTGAGATTTATTATCTTTTTGTTGTTCGACAAAATATGTAAATAACATATTTAAATCTTCTTCTGTTTGTACACCTAAAACCTACATAGAAAAAAACAACAACAACAATAAACCAACGATTCAAGATTGTAAGATTTCATGATGTTTCATGAAACAATCATATCACATTTCCAAAATTATGCTATCAAATAAGTGTATTTGTCATGATTCAGTTCTTATAGTATATAAGCAGTTATAACTTGAGGCCATAATGTAGAATGACCCCCTTAGAGATGTTATTTGTCTTCACACACTATTTTTATCCAACAGTTGTAAAAGATTTTTTGAAGGTAATTTTTCACTGCCTCAGACTGATCAAAGTTAATTCACTCAACTGATTCAACTATAAGGATTACGTTTTTATTGAACTCAATAGTATTCAAGATAAAATTTTCATCTGTAAGAAAGGATAATAATGTTTTGAAAAAATATTGGCATTCTAGATTTATTCTTTTTTTAGGAAAATGAAGAAAAGATGATTATCTTGTTAGTTCCATTTGGTGAGATAAATGGATCAGATTCGTTCAGGTAAAATCGATTATTGAACAGAAAGACTAAAAATTTCTATATTTTACAAAGTTGTATAAATCATTTCGGTTAGATGAAAGACTAAACATTGACCGACAATAAAATAAATAATGTAAAGAACATAGAACAAATAGAAAATGGCTAGCAGTGAAATCCAGGATGAAAGCACAAAACTATCGTTGCGTTCTAGTATGGAAGTCCTCAGCAGAGCTCACCCACGATTCCGCACGTGGGACTCGAACAACGGCATTTGGTTCCGTGCAGGAACGTTTAACCTTGTGAATTCAACTGTTGAAGTACTACAATATTCACAAATATCCATACTAATAATAATTATGTGTTCACTAGTGATCAACTTTAAGATGGACTCCATGGGGTTCTAGTGAGAAATCGTGACAAGTGGAGCCCAGTTCGTATCGAGCGTGAGGCAGTTATTTACCTCATAAAATGGATAAAGGGTTGCGTAAGATCATGGATCAGTTGAAGTTAGACATGAACACCGTCGGGTGCCAGCTAACTGGTTGAGAGGTCAAGTGTTCCTTTGAGAGACCAAATGTCCTGAGTTAGAGTCCCTCATGAAGGATCGCGGATGCACACTTCTAAGGAGTCCCATATTAGGACGAGATGGCCGTTCGATGCTTCCTGATTTTCACTGGTTATCTGACAGTGATCAATTCATGATCTCCATAAAAACTCAACAATCTCCATAACCCTACACTGTTAACATTTATTAAATTTTTTTTCAAAAACCTACTTACCGTTAGTATTGTATCTAGACGTAGAAGTAACCCTTCTTCATATCCTAACGGTTCTAACAAACGTTTTATGTTTTCATCAATTAAAAATTCCTACAATTATTGTTATAAAACAAAAAGCATTATTGTCATTTAACTAAAATGTAAAGTGATAAGAGTTCGAATTTCTCTTCGTTTTTCTTACGCATCAATTTTGAATATAATTGTTAAATCTCAACCAGTAGTATTGTGGTGTGTGCTACATGTACTGACATAAGTAGTATATGATGTTAGCCGTGAACAGAAGGTCCGGCAGAAGAGAGACAAGAGGATCAAACAATAAAGAATGGAAATAGGATGCAACTTGTATGAAAATGAGAGAACAATGAAGTCTGGGTCATTCTAAGACAATTGATGGACATTTTGCAAATTAAGCATTTACTTTATGATTGTTAGATTTTATTAACAAGTCCTGTAATTTTGTGTTAAATACATTCGATTGTCCCCACCCGTGTTCTGTTCACTACAGCATGAGGCCAATCATCATTTTGTCAATGTTCAGTAAAAGTGTGATATCTCAAATTTTCTAGAATTATTTTGTTCATATAGTGTGTCAGTGGTGTAAGATTATAATTTCCTCAGAAGATTTCAATTTAATCTTCTGTAGTTATCCACAGAACATGTCTGTGTAACACATTTCAACTTATCGTATGAAAAGAGCAAATAATGATGAAATTTAGAGCCTGAAATGAAATCCATAGTGAAAATTATGTTGTTACGTCCAGGATTCACTCACTAAATGATAATGCACGCATATTGAACATTGAAAAGCAAATCCACAACAAATTCTTGAACATATATTTCATCCCCAGTTAGTATAAACTGATGGATGGAAGAGATATACTCATCATACTGGGATTCAAATGTATACCATTCAGAAGCACACAGCCAATATACTTATCAATGAGTTACTTAGTAAAAAAAACATTTAAAAATAACAACCATGGTTAACTGATAGTCCAAATTTGACAATTCAATACTGTTTATTGTCGTATGATGTATTTAAATCATCATGTTGGATAAATTGGTTGATATATTTGATGTAAATTTTTGAATGAATCAATAAACGTTCACTTTTTATAGAGTGGACACAGTCCACAGATCGAATGCTATCGATCATGTTGCAATGTGGCCACCATCTAATCTCAATATATAGTGCCCGCAGTGTCGAGTCACTTAGCATTCGATCTGCACTAAATAAGGACTTGACACACATGACATTGATCACCACCCAGTGATCAATCAATTATAAATATTATACGTTTTTAAAGTCTAATTAAATTATGAGGAAATAATACGAAAACTTACAGGCTCATAACACAGTAAGTGCAAAAATTCTTGTACAGTTTTGATGAAACTTCTTTCAATGTTGTAGGTATTTTATTTTCTGAGGTTACATTCTGTGAATTGGAAAGTTTCTAGAAGATTTAAAGTTAATCGATATTTAGAAAAAATATATATTGGCTTATACGACGCTTAAATAGGTAATGTGAAAAGCGAATCCGAGAAAACCAGACTGATTTTAGACCCAGATTTAGATGTACCGACTAAATATTCACCTCATATAAGATTATGAAACATTTAATCTTCCATTAAATTATTGGCTTTAAAGTTATCTGATACTTTTCCACTTTGTGACTTCATATTCTCTTTCATTGTGATTATCCATTTTCAATGCTTCCTATTACCGTAACTATTTGTACTACTCTAGTATTTCAGTGTAATGTGGTGTTGTGACAACATAAACCGATGTATAAAATGACACGTTTTATGTTGCGCTTATGATTGACTGACTGATTGGTTGACTACTAAAGTATTGGTGATTATTAGCAAGATGAGCTATTAATGAGTTTTCAATAAACAATTTATAAATCTGTACTTTGTCTGAGTTTAAAACTATCAAATTCCAGTGTATACTAATGTTCTGAAATGATCAAACTGAAATATTTCAAACATAAAATATCAACTAATCACTGATTCACCATAAATTTAGACAAAGAAAATCACTATTGGTCTATACTCAATGTTACATAGATTTTATGAATATCAATTATCAACAGTGTTTTATTCTCAGTTGAATACAAGTTCTAATGGGATGGAAGAATAAATTTTCAATTTACTTCTTGTCAGATTGTAAGGCTAATTCCATTGCAATTATAGCTGGAGGTATACTGGTGATCTGTTTCACTGGACCTACATTTTCCATGAATGATCTAGAAAAAAAAACAATGAAATGTACCATATATATGTCACTGGAGATCATCAATAGTAGTTACTGATTATGAGCATATTCATTTTCTTAGTTATTTTTATTTACAGCTATGATATATTCATTTATGGGATTCCGGTAAACAGATACTCGTAAAAGTCTTAAAATGAAGATAATTTTGATTAACATGAAGAATCTATGGAGATTATTCAATTTGAAAATAGTTTACATCTCGCAGACCCATTGTAAGATCACAAGTGTTCAAAACAAGAAAGCATTGTATAACTGCTTTCGTCGTGGTATATAATTTCTTGGTAGTATTCATTTACGAAGCCACTGTTAACCAAATTCAAGATCTTCAGACATTGCAGAGATTCTGTTATCATCAGATTTAGTAATGTGCTTTTGAGCTTGATAGTTAAGCTACGAGGTTTTCATTGTGTTACTTCTAAACAACATCATCAACACAAACTAGTCAAGAAGTAGAACGAGAGTTTCAAGACTAAACTACTCAACAAGAGCACAAAAATATTCTACAATAAATTGTAAATATTCACCATCATCTCAAACTGCAAATGGGACTAAGAATTTCATATTTCTTTAAGAATTCTGGTATAATGGCTCCTATGTTAATGATACCGACTTACGTTTTCGTGTTGAATTATTATTAGTAAAGCATCTTTGATGTTAAAGTCCAATCAAAACTACGGTTACGATAAAAAAAACAACTTAGTAATTAAGTGAACATTCCTGTACTCAATTTGGACCATAATTTACTTTTGATATGTAGAGGTTTTTAGTAATATTACCAGGCCTCCCAAACTGCACTAAGTAGATTGTGACTCAAGCCTATTTAAACACCGAAGCCTAGTACATTCAAGTCTCACTGAGAATACGAAATGTTTAGACTACTAAGTCTAAGTCAAGTGCATCATTTGTTATTATTTTGATCAATCTGTGATGCAAAGTGATCCCTATATAATGCCACTATCCAGTCAATGACCTCATTCTCGACTTGTATGCGCCTCCAATGTTTACGTCTTTCCACCTCATAAAATTAATTTCGAAGCTAATTACTAATAGTTATGTAATAAATCAAGTGTCAATCAGTTATTGTCTCTGATACCAGAACTATATCTTTATAACAATCGCACGAAATGATCATGTTTATTTACTTACTGACCTTAAAAAATAGTACCATTGAATGTAAAAATTATTAATCAATAAAAGCATTGATGAATAGTAGTTTCGGTTCTATCTAAATGCTCTACCGACTGAGCTAGCCGGGCTGCCTCCAAATGCCCTGGTACGGCCGAGAGTGGGGAGAGTCCGCTCTCCTCTCGAAATGCTCTCACATGGCCACGAGTATATAGCCTCTGCCAGGGAAGTTCTACTCATTGCCTTCTCGTGGCGAGGGTGTTGTTTACGAAATTGGGAGGACAAAAAGCGAGTGTCCGGTGCTTTAACCGGGTTGGTGGACACGGAGAGTTTACTTAAAGTAGTTGGAAGACTCTAATTCCAAACCACTGGTGCACATGGGCTTCAGTATCCTGAGGGAACAAATGGGGTATGAACCAATCGTTAGTCACCGGCTACCATGGGACTACATCTCCTTACGATGCTCCACTGCCTTGTGGATCAGCCCTTCAGGTCGAAGGCTCTTGGTGGTGGCTCCCCAAGAAAACTACCTGCTTCGGTTTGGGCACCCGGGCAGTATCACACCCCTTACACAAATCAAATGAGATTTGTGTGACGCATATGTATTTGGTGCCTCCTTGTACCAATATGTATGTGTTAAAAATAAATAAATAAATCTATTTAAATATCCAGTGAAAATGCCAAATAAAGGAAAAAAACTTTTATAAACTGCAATTTTGTTTTCAGTAAATAAAAAAAAGAAATATTTACATATCTGGTGGATTCCATGTTAAGCCAAGTTGTTGTTCAGTAATAATTCGATGTGCTTCCAAAAGACGATTACCTAATTGTTTCAAATTCTCTTCATTCATTATCCAAATATCATGAAAATTCGTTGTACACTTTCTATTAACAATCTTAATTAAGGTGTGTTTTTTTTTAAAAAATAATAAATACGAGATTTGAATAACTCATTAAAATTGTTTGTTGTCTTAATATAAACAAATTGTTATTTATATTTTAATTAGTGAAAATAAGAATATAAAATGATCATGTTATCTGACTTTTATTAGAAATCAATATTGACGACAGAACTGTTAATCTTCGTAGTTTAAATTTAGAACTAACCTTAACTAGACCAATATTGAGAACCTGGAAGCACTGGACAACAGTTTTATCCTAATATGGGACATATCAGCAGTGTGCGTCTATCACATTGCATTTGTAAAGCAATCTAGGACTTTTAATCTCACGCGTCTACATTCATTGTACACCATTGGGTTCCGGCTCAATGGTCTAGAGGTTAAGCGTTAGCGCTTAAGATATGGGTTTAACTCTCTGCGGTGGGATTTTGTGTGCTCACTGTTGAATAATCACATATTAGAACAAAACAACTATTCAGTGCTTTCAGGTTTTTCAGTAGTGGTCTAACTAAGATCCGTTCGTGACATAAACTACGAAAGTTTTACAATCTCCACAAATCCCCTCTATACTAATTAAAATTATATATGATAATGTTTTAAGTATATATGATAAGAATGGTGATCGGTTTAACATAAATATAGCGTGCGTATCAACAATCATGTTTGCATTTCCCTAACTCATATCATTTGTGGCGAGACACCCGTCTTCGTACCAAGAAGAGAGCTTACTGTTTAAAACTTCGTTTTGTCTTAATTCATGATTTTTGAAAATGAGGGATATATACAAGTTACTAGTATTTGATAGATGTCTTCACAGAATAAGTTAATCATAGTGGAACCACTGAGTGACTAATGCTGAGGTAAGGAGCACATTACTAAGTAGAAATGGTAAACCAGTTGATCATGTTGTGGACCTCTATCCACTGGTGTGCTTAGAATACTGATTACACGTAATCGAAAACCCCTTATCCTAATGTTCAGTATTGGATAGAATAAAACCGTATTAAAATGAAGCTAACAACAGACAAACGAAGGTTAATAATAAGTATATTTTAGTGATATCTTAAAAATATATTTATTATTAACTTTCTACCCTATGCTCAGTTTATTTGAGATATCAAGTCCAACCTTGGGATTGATACCTACAAACAAACGGAAGGTTCGAATCAAGTCATAAGATAATTAAAATTTCGTCTGAGCTACATCAGTAAATACAAACATCCTAACTTGGATCCCCTCAGTAACTATGATTAATGATTGTACACTTTGAATGATATGCTCTAACTCGTTGGCGGTAACAGGTTTCGATAAGATGACGACACGTCTAGTCAATCAACTATGGCAATGTTAAGAGAAATTCAGAAATTCAACCCGTGATACAATAGAATGAAGTGAGATATTACTGTATCATAACTAAACATAAATTATGATTAACCTATATACTCCAACCATGAATTTCACATCATGCCATAAGGTTCAACCACCAATCGATAACTTCATGGACTATTATCATGTCTTGATGTAATCGCCTTCATCTTTTTTCAAATGTATTTCTACACTAGCCTTCAGTGTACATCGAGATGGGTGATAAAGATGAGTGTGTAGCACATCTGTCAACAATCTCAGTCGATGAAGCCTAAGGTCCTGATCAGCTTGTTCAATGTCTCTACTTATTGCTCTATAGTTATCCACTTCAAAGCTTCTATCACATACGATCAATATTTTGAAAGAATTAATGATGATTGGTTGGCAATCTAGGTATATCATTTACATGAACAGAATATGTTTCACAGAAACTACATAGAGTCATAAATGTAATCCTACTAGATAATTTTAAACCAATAGCAAAACAGATTTTACACATTACACCCAATTCTCATTTGTAGTCTTAATGTCTTTAATCAGTTTATAATAAACACAATTTGTTTTCTAGTTTTCTAATTTAAGGGCTAAATAAAAATGAGGCAGTTGCACTATACACAGAATCATACTTTGATTTCTTTTGTAAATCACTATAATTTTCCATTCTTCTTTTATAATCTTCAGATAACTGTTCATTTTCTACTCTAAAAGAAAACAGGATAACAATAATAACAATGGGGAGAATCAGAATTATTTCCCATGTGATAATATTAGCTATTTTGTGTAACAATATAATGAGCTCCATGTTACGTGAAAAAAAGCATCCACTCTATAAAGAGTAATTTGTCTTTTTGTAGAATGTTTTATTATTTAGACAACTTTATGAGATATTTCATGTATCTTGTCAGTATGATTGGGTTGAAAAATCGATTCATAATGTAATAAGAAGCTTATTTACGCCTGTTACTCCTCTTCAAGGAGCATAAGCCATCAGCATTTTCCATACAACTCTGTCCTTAGTAATCCTTTCCATATGTTTTCAGATGCTATTCCGTCTTCTAATGTCTGCTTCCGATTCTCATCGCAGTGTGTTCTTCGACCTTCCTCTGTAGCGTTTCCCTTCAGCACTTTTAATTGGGGTATGCCTAGTGATAAAGCTTGGTGATTTCCGCAATGTATGTCCTATCGACTTCCATCATCTCTTCCTAATTTCCTACTCAGCTGGAAGCTAGTTTATCCTCTCCCATAGCAGGCTGTTGCTGATGGTATTCGACTAACGAAAATTGAGTATATTGCGTAGAAAATTGTTTATAAATACTTGTGCCATTTTGATGATAGTTGTGGTAGTTCTCCACGTTTCAGCTCTGTTAGTATTGAAGATTCTCACTTTGATACTGGTTGACAGCTGTTTTGATTTTCATATGTCCTTCAATTGTAATAATGCTGTCCTTAATTTGCTAACCTACCCTTTACGTCTAAACAAGATCCTTCTTGTTCATCGATGATGCTTCCCAGGTACGTGAAGGATTCCACCTCTTCCAGAGTTTCTCCATCAAGTGTGATTAGGTTGGTGTTCTCTGTGTTACATTGGGAATCTTTCTTTTTTCTTTGTGTATGTTGAGGCTTTTGCTACACTAGTTGTCTTCGTCTGCATTTGTTCGTGTGTATGGGATAGAATAGCTAGGTTATCTGTGATGTCCAAAACGTCTAGTTGCGTGTAAGCTGTCCATTGTATTCCGTGCCTCCCTCCAGATGTGGAGGTCTTCGTGATCCAGTTAACCACCAGAAGAAAGAGAAAGGATGATAGCAATCAGCCTTGTCTGACTCCGGTCCTCACTTGGAATGCGTCTGTCAGCTGTCCTCTCTGCACGACTTTGCACTGTAGTCAGGAAACTGTAGTTACAATAATTGTATTTATATGTATATACTACTTACATGTAAGTTGTATGCTATTAAAAACTATAAAACACGCTAACAAAACGATATGAAGCGGATTGAATTTCGTGAAGGTAAATCACTGTACAAGTGAACAGTGATGGTCTAGTAATTAATATTACTCAAGTTTTATTTGAGACAAAAGAGGATAATTCATTTCAAATTAAAAGCAAGTTCGAAGTCTAAAACAGAGATAACGTTAGACATTGATTGAGTGAGATATTGAAATAAATGAGCGACTTTCATATAGTGAGATGAAGCTTTAAATTCAACTTTTATTTGTTTGAATAGACAACCTTTCATCAAACATTATTTTATCACCCATTTACCATTTTAATGAATGAGAACACATGTGGGGAAAACCAAATGTGTTTTAATAGGAAATTAGAGTTTTTTTCATCAAATGTGAAAACTATACATTCAATACTTGATTTGTAAATCCTCCATCAATTGTTTCAAACTTCATCGTTCCTTCATTACCATAACAAATACTCTCCTTTTCCATTCTCTTCAATTCGATCTTCCCAACCTTCTACTGCCAGATATTCCATTTCTGAGTGGAGTTGTATACAACTTATGTTTGTCGATATATATAAGTAGCATACACCACACTATTATATATGTAAGTTTTATTCCATGATGTTGAATACTTTAAGATTTGAGTAATAAATCCTTAATAATTCTACCAATTAGGACAACAATGAAAGTATTTTAATTAAGCCAACAAGCTTGAAGGATTCAACACCATTAAATACACTCTTCTCGTAAAATTTTTATTTATAAGATAGAAAATAAATATGTATGTGTTAGCGAGACATAGATGGGATTAAAGCATGCTCCATGCACGATCGCGTTGGCGCACACTGATTGGCTGATTCTTATCCAGTCAGTGTTAGTCGATACTTGGAGAACACTCTAGAATCTTTTCATGTAAAAACTATAAATATACTAACGTTTTCCCTATTGTGCTTCTTACTTCCATCTAACCTTGTTATCTGGAATATTATCTCTTTCCTGTTCAATCGTGTTCTGATTTGGGGACTTGTCGAGTGAATTGATGTCCGAGAATACTAACCAATAGGAATAGCTAGGTTGTAATAAGAGAGAATTATAACAGTATGACTTAGTCATAAACGCAGATACAAATCACAAAATATAACTGTAAATTGTCAACAGCCTGAATTGAATTAGTACTCCCACCAAAAAAACACATACTACTCACTTGTATTGTTGTTCTTGTTTATTTGATTTTATACGTAAATTATTCAATGTATCTTGTAGACGTGTAATTCTTCTCTTTTGATTTGATTTAAGCACTGTATTCTCTTCATCACGTCGTTTTAAAACTTGATAATTATAATCTAATTTTTCTAAATTCAATTGATATGTAGATTTTAATTTTTGTAAATGACTTTCAAATGTCTAAATTCCACAACAACAAAAAAAACAAAGAGTGTTTACTAAAGTTGAATAGTATATTGAATGAATTACATAAAGTCCTATTTATATACAAAACATTTCATCTTCACAAACTAAGTGACTGATTGATTACATTTAAGTAATACAATAATCGAGTTTGTAAATAATTTTCTTCATCTAGGTCGTTTCGTTTTCTATTGTGTCTAATTAGTTTCAGTTTTACCTCATAATGACTTATCTGGATTGTAAGAACATAATAAAACGAAAAGAATCTGTGTTCGATTAGTAGGGAAGATGATTGAAAGTGATGTGTGTCGTAAACTCTCGGAAAGTTAGTGTTGAATGTTCAAGTAGATTGGTGTTATACAGCAATTACTTATCAGACTTACACATATTCGGTAACGCATAAAGTTCACGATCCCCCCCCAAAAAAAACTCTTCAGAGCTTCCATATAAAAAGAAACATCCACTGTCTTCCCTTCACAGAGAGGTTGATAATGAATAACACCATGAGTGTATATATTTTCTCATTCATGATCCATAATTCGGTTTTTATTATTTGTTAAATTACATCAGATATATTTTGTATTCTTAGAAGAATGATTTTGTTGCCCGATGTTTACTCAGTCATGTCGAAAAAAGAAATGACTTAAGGTAACAGTCATACTTACAAGATAATGGCAGCTTTCATCAATTAACAGTTAAATAAAAATAGGTTGCCAAGTCTAAACTAACTCTACACTTGAGAAGATAAATAAGAACACAGAAATTTTAGAGCCGTTTCAAAAAATAATGTCAGTATAAAATGTACCGGTATGTGTAAAGATGTTTTTAAGTTTCTTTCAGAATCAACCAATAAGACTGTGATTTTATGGCTCCCATTGAATTATGTGAAGATGAAAATGCACTGAAAAATCGCATTTCTATTAGTCAACAATACATTATGACATTATACTATGGTAAAAATTGCAATATCAGAGTACAAGAATACAAATAGTCAATATGGTAACATGTGCAAAACTATTTTAAATCACCGATCAAAAAGTACATAACAATAATAACAAGTTTGATTATATAATATCTGTAATACTGAACGAAAATTTACAAAAATACATTAAACAATTGTCATCCTTTAATTGATGTCACGATTGATGTTAATTAAGCAAACATTGAATTTAGTAACCAGTTGACATTTATCCCAGCGGAGGAAGAAATCAGGAAGAAGCGCTGGAAGTGGATAGGACACACATTGAGGAAAGCACTCAACTGCGTCACAAGACAAGCCCTCACATGGAATCCTCAAGGTCAAAGAAAAAGAGGAAGACCAAAGAACACATTACGCCGAGAAATGGAGATAGACATGAGAAAAATGAACAAGAATTGGATGGAACTAGAAAAGAAGGCCCAGAACAGAGTGGGTTGGAGAATGCTGGTCAGCGGCCATTGGGAGTAACAGGCGTAAGTAAGTAATCATGTACGCTCATCAGTGACTGATTTTAACAGGTAACCCCCGAATATATAAACTATTGAATAACAAACTAATAGTCTGAAAGTTAAGCGCTGACTGGCAGACGTAAAAGTCCTGGGTTCGATCCCCGATAGAGCAATCGATGCGTGTTGTTATTAAGTACCGTTTTAAGAATGAAAAGGTGTTTAGTGATTTATGGTTCGCAAAGTTGTTTATCTAAAAGTAGTCCGTAACGCAAACGATGAAACCCTCTATATTACTTGTGCTGTCTACTTAACAGAATCATTGGTTGAATTCAGTTAACGTTCTATTAATTGTCAAGTAGAAAACATTGAAATAACCTTCCCAGATTATCATTTACGTTCATAACATAATCGTTGTGAATGCTGATTACTTTTCTCACCTACTAATCCCTCTTCCCATAATATATCACAGAAGTATATAAATCTAGTCTAATATATTTGCGAGATGTAAAAGATCATAATTTTCTCATTATCATGATTAATTTACTGACTTACCTCGACTTCAGCGCCCAATGATATTTTCAGTGCATTGTACTCTTCTGAATATTTAGTGCGCAGATCATAAAGTTCTTTCTCATATTCAATAGCCTGATCTTCACGTTGTTTTAAATAATTAGTCTATGAGAGTCATATAAAAAAGAAAATTAATCAATGGGAATAGAACAAATACACCAGTCTAATAGACACTATAAATTGAAACAAACTGATTACCTCGATACGCGAAGTTGTCTGGTGTAGGAGTAAACTGTAAGAAAGCTAATGAGTTACTAAATGGAGATGGCGAATCAGTCCATGAAGTCATTAAGCATTGAACTGAGACATGCTGGTAGGTGCAGACTACCTGGTCGGGATCCATGTGATTATCATAACCAATGGTTGGAGATGTTCAGTGATATGGGTCAAACTAGGTTAGAATGACGTAGGTGTATTTACTCTGTCCTAAAACATCCATGCATTCCATTTTGCAAACTCCTTCTTTTTAAGTCATATCGCATAACCATAATCTTTTCTACTATAACTGATACTTCCATTACTTGTACTACTCTGTGACTTATCTTGATATTCTCATTTTTCTGTGTTGATATGGTGTGGAAGTTTGAAGCGATACATATTTGCAGCAGATTCTATATTGCTTATGATCCATGTATTGTACCAAATACTTAATACAAAGATGGTCATAGGATTAATCTTGATAAGAATAACCATTTTGAAATGTTGCATCAAATTGGTCTAAGGTGAAATCATCTATAGATCTGGTTAATTCTTAGCTTTCTTTAATGTTGGTACCTACATTAAACCAAGGTAAAATTGGTTCCAATTTTATTGATATAAAGATTGGTGTACAGATAGTATCACTCGTTTCTGATGATTTCTTTGCTGTACTTATGTTTTCATTTGTTAAATTTAAATTCTACAAAACCCATGTTGATATTGTTGTCTAGAAGGACAGTGAAAACTTTACATATAAACTAACTTTTGTGACGTGCGGTGTACGATTTCGATATTGATACATGATCTTTCTATACATGAACCCAATCGGCTACTTGAATAAGAAGGAAGTTTACTGACTAAATTCAGTCGGCATTCATATATATATATATATATATATATATATATATATATATATATATATATATATATATCCAAAATTGAACCGCCAATGGTGCATGTCTCGTTTCTTAGAGATGTGAGCCATTTCTTGGCCACTCATGACCACTTATCACCAGGCCGGTTTTTATTGACCTTACGCATACTATGTAGCTCAGAGATCTCAACCTTACTGTAATCTTTCAGATCGTTTATATATGGAACATCAAATATTTGATTTATTAAACTGTATGTTCAAATCCCTCCATTTTTATAATAATGTTATGCAATAATCGTTAATATTGTGTTTAATGATAAGTCTGCTACCATGAGCTTGATAAATTACGTTCGATCATCTCTATGTATCAGCTATGTGAAATGGCGCTTAAGGAGTGACAAACAGTTTATAAGTAATGATAACAGCATATATTAGTACACGTCAAAACTTATTGCATTTTATAAAAGTTATATCATGATTAAAAATAGCTGACAGATTTCATGCGGAAGGGGGGTGTAGGAGGATAAGAATTATAAATGCCTATCATTTTTCCTTTTTAGAAAAGTATCATGATCGGTTCATGAAATCAATTAAACCTCAGCAATCTCCACAACCCTATACTGATAAATGTCATGTGCTTACCAGTGACTAGCCTCAAAACGTAATTCTCAGAGTTTTAGTGAGAAGCCGTCACCAGTGAAGTTCAACCGTGTTAGGTGTGAGGCAATTACCTACCAAAGACAATAGAGGATGGTAGCACATTATTGTGGATTGTTTAAAGTTGGACATTAACCCGTCGGATGCCAGTTCAGTGGTATAGAGGTCAAGAGTTCGCACACGGGACTAAAAGTCCTGGGTTCGAGTCCCTTTGAGGAGAGATCGTAGATGCACACTACCGAGGAATCCCGTACTAGAACGAAACGGGTTTTCGATGGTAGTCTAACACTGATCGGTTCATGAACTCAATAAAAAGTATCATGTTATTGATTCGTTCTCACTCTTTAAGTATGCCTGATAATAGGAATTTCATTGACCGAGCCGGTAAAAATGCTGCTTTTGAATTGGTGAGAGAAGGGTATCGGTCAATGGTGAAGGGGACAAAAGTTTTGAAATTTAATTTCCTTTCCTTTAAAAAAATTATTCCCATTTAAAACATCTTACTAAAAATGGTCTCTTTTATACTAAACATTAATATGTTTTTTAAAAACAGTATCAATCAACGATTTTTCTTCATACACACACACACACACACAAAGTATTCTCATATATGGTAGTTTACTTGTTTCTGTTTGATTTCATTCATCAACATTCCCCATTCAGCATTTTGTTCACTAGTTAATTTTTCTCTTTGATCTAAAAATGCATTCTGTTGGGTTGAAAATATAAAAAAATTAACTAGACAGGGGGGGTTGTTACCTTCAGGTAAATAGATATTGATAAATGATTGAGATTATTTGTAATGTGTCTGACATATATATATATATATACATATACATATACATATATATATATATATATATATATATATATATATATATATATTCATTAACTATATCATAACCCACACTTTTGATCCCTTTCAGTGTTTACTGAATGAGTGACAACTGTATAATAAAGTGTAATTATCCGGAAATGTCTATTATGAACATGTCCAGTGTAACCCATTTCGTAGACATATCGGATGAAAAGCATATAAATATGCAGTAACATCTGTACTTAAATTGAAAATACAAAGAATATTACATGATAGATGAACAAGAAAAAATTATCAAAAGCTCTGGATACGGTTCAATTAGTGAATATTCAAAACATTGCAGTTAACGTCGAACTGATAAATCGCTCTATGAAATTAAAATGGTAACTGAAAAAGATTATATAAGATAATAGAAGTGATTTACAGTAGATAGGAATATCGTTTTACCAACCTAATGGTCTAACACTAGAGTACTTGATTCATGAGATTCGATTATTTCGAAGAAAGAACAAATTGATTTGTAACTCACAATGCTAATATGAAATGTTCACAACTTGTACCATCACAAATTTGTGTCAAATTTTGTATTGTCCATGGCTAATTATTATGCTAATTTTCATCAATTTTCGTGTATAACCTAATCTTCCAAACCATCAGTTATGGTTTAAATAGGTCAGTGACATTGTTTGCATTTATGAAGTCCTTTCTGGGCAAACATGCTTTTTTCTTAAAGTTGATAACAGACATGAAATTTAAACGTTAGGGTCTCTTAATTGTTTCATTTCAAACATCTAAACTACAATAGATACTTTTTTAACTAAGTAGAAACAGAAAAAATAAAGTCCCTGGTTATTGAGTTGAACTAAATTCAACAATAAGCGGTAAGGTCTCAGACAGTGAAACTGATTGATAATGGCTTGGAATATCAATTCTCTCAAGACTGAACGTTTACCTTGCTGATGAGCTCCAACAAGAACAAAGCCTAACTAAAACAGTATTTCCCGTCAATCACCTTCTAGCATTTTACATCTCAACGTTCAAAAAACAGGTTGAAAATAAAAAAACTTATATACGTTAATTAAAAGTAATAACTATCTCTGTATAATTGATTTGAAATTACACCAGACTAACTGAAGGACTTATCTTTTGGAAAAAAGTGTAATCTTGTATTAGTTAATGAATATCTTATCTATATCTTGTTCTAGATAGTTTACATTAAAAATTGTTAATGAGTATGTTGAGCGAATTCTATGTTGTATCAAAATATAATATTGAATGAAGCCATTAATAATAATAATAACAATAATAATAATAATAATAATAATATTAATATAAATCAAACGCGTAATGATAAACAGATATATAAATATTAAAAACATGAATTTCAGCGAAGGAATCTCTTTTCGACGAATTTATTGTAAGTATTAATTCAGTGAGGAAATAAACAAGAACTTCTGTTTGTATCTATCGATTCACCTGATTTTGTAGAACAAGGTGAATTAGCTTTCAACTTGGGTATGAGAACATATTACTGTGTGGATCTAGAAAGGGGAAAAGAAAACCGTTAAGAGTTCTATACTTGATTACTTAATCGTTTCTAATCACTCCACTGTTCGAAATGTTGGTATTAAGGTTGTTTATAGAAGACTTCTTTGTATTCAACTCATTAAAATATCAGATGCTTTTGATATTCAAAAAATGAAGTGTGAATTGTGTGTAAAAATGAAGTACATCTTATTATTGCCAAATTATGGTGTTAAACTATTATTGTTATTATTATGCCAAAAGAGACTGATCAATTGCAGTATGAAACATTAATGAGAAGATTCAGAGCATCAAACAGAAACGAATTAAACTTCACCCAATTGCACAAGCCAGTGACTATATAAACTGTGAGGCTAATTGGATAATGCGATGGTGTTTAAAGCAAATGGTCCTGAGTTCGTATTGTGGAGTGAACGCTAACTCTGGGATGCAGGTATATTCAGATGACCACTCATATGCAAAACAAACTCTTGCCCTAGATTCCGTTGCTAACCACCATCCAACTCTATTATTATTATCATCATTATTTTGTTTTCATCTCACTGATTTCACCACAGAAAATATCCCTCGTTCATGAATTTATTCATAATTGTTTCTGATATCACTTCACTTCATTTAACCTTTGTTATACGTTTTAATCAACTTACTCTATTCATATTATAATCCATTGTTAACTTAATAATTTTATAGGATTTTTCTATTTACATACACATAATCTTTTATTGTTATAATTTACACTATGAAATGACTCTGTCACGTCATCATGTTCATTCATTGTTCATATGTCCTCACGAAATTGATTCCTACAATTTATATATAATACACAATTGCATAACTTCATAATAAACTCATTAAAAAAATGAGATCCCTTGACTGAACTTTGCATAATAATGCTGATGAAAATAATAAGCATAATAATTGTTATTATTACAATGCTACATACTTCAATGGCAATTAGTTCTTCCCGATAGGTTCTTTGAATAGCTTTAATTTGTGATTCCATTCGTTCGGCTAATAAATCAATATCATCTGTGCGTTTCTTTAATTCTCTTACATAATGATCATCTTTAGCTTTAATTTCCTGTATTGTTTTTATTTTCATTTAAGTCAAACATAAAAAGAACAATATTTTTAATTTGATGATAGTAAACATATGATGGATGTTTTAATAGTTGAATACGATCTAAGGCAGACCACTACTGAAAACCAAGAAGCTCTGGAAGACCGTTTCGTTTTAGCACGGAACTCCTTAGTAGGGTTTATCCACGATCCCCCATGCGGGACTCGACTCATGACTTTCAGTCTCGCCCTCGAACACTTAACCTCTAGAACACTGAGACAGCATCTAACGGCGTTAATGTCCAGGTTTTCAATAGCATTCTAGCTTAGATCGACTCATGAATTCAAATATTAAAGTAACTACAATCTCCACAAACCTCCCGTTCTGATATGATAGATTCATTTAAAAAAGAAAAGATTTAAAAAGTGAAAAAGTTAAGATTCCAAAAAATTCGAAATTTACTTCTTATGGTGTTAGAGTTTCTTTCAGCTATTAAACAATTTGATTGGGAAAACCAACAACTATATCCACGAAACATGCATTATAGTGTTTGACATAAGTCGTAAACATTTTGTCTTGAACTAACGTTGTAAAATAATTGATCATATTGACAAAGTTGTGTTTGAAGATAAAAAATTCAAAAATGGACTTTAGATTACATTATAATCTATAGTCGATGACTTTAAATAACACTATTTGAAATAAATATTGCATTTGTACTGGTTTGTTCTCTGTTACAGTAGGCTGTTGCTGATGGTATCCGACCAACTAACATTGAATATCTTGTATAGGCCTTATTTGTATTTAGTTTGGTATTATTCCATGTTTTTATTACGTTTTTAAACCTCATTTTAACTCCATGCTCTTGAACTAATGACTAAATTGCAATATCGAATAAATTCGTTAAAACCTACACATACTATGGAAACTGACCGATTGTAGCCTTTAATACCAGTAATAAGAAAATATAAACGCTTATAAATATACTCTGTATATGTTTAGTTTTCAATACCATAGGCATTCCTTTATAGAAAATACGAATCCCGGGGTACGTGTTTCATTCGATATCAGACTTATGCAAGAATCCTAGTGTTAATTTCTGCACTAGGGCTTGAAACTATTAACTTTATCTTCAAAGGCCAATACACTCTTCACTAAGTTACTAGATCCACACATGATATTTATATAATTATTACTGAGGACTTGAATTATAAATTTGTTGATCATCTTGACTGAATTGTGATCAATCTTTGCTGACTACAAATCCATCTGTTCAATAAAAAGGTGTGAAAAATAGCCAAATAGGGGTAATACGTACACTACGTACATATACCAACAAAGACTAATCACGATTCAGTCAAGATGCCCAACAAATGAGTAATTGAAATCATCTATAACAATATAGGTTTTAATATCTTAACTCATTCGGTTTTCATCTTGGCGATGTTTTCATATTGCATAAATGCAAAATATTGCGGGCATAATTGGTTTATTGGTCCCGTACGCGATTTCCTACTAATTTTTAAAACAAATTTACGACTTACTAAATTCAGTTCATTAATCAGCTTATTTTTCTCAGCTATAAGGTCTTTGCACAACGTGTTTTGTTTGTCTAACATCTAAAAATATTTAGAAAAAGTATAGAAGTTATACAATAAGTTAAAGCCTGGTGTAACATTCCCATACTAGTTATTGCAATCTGTTTAGAGTGAAATTATTTATCTTACCTCTTTTGTTTCATCTAATAATTCACTTTCCTGGGCCTTTTCCCATTGTTCTGTTATCTACACAAATAAAATGAAAGAAATCCAAAACCTATTTGGTATATGGTGAGAATAAGTGGACTGATACAAGTACCGTGCGAAAAGTCTTAGCAATCTAGTGATCTATGAAGAAATACCCAAGTCGTTTATAGGTTACTTACTTACGAATGTTACTCCTTGTGGAGCAAAGGCTGTCAACCAGGATTTTTCAACTTACGCAGTCTTGGGTTGTCTTTTCCAATTATTGGCAAGTGTTACCCATTCTTTCGATGTTTGCCTCCAGTTCTAGGCCCCATGCATTCTTTGGTCTGCCCTTTCTACTTACTTGGGATGCGCCTGTAAACTGCTCTCCATGTACGACGTTGCAGTGTAGTCTATCCTAAGCATTCTGTATGATGGTGACGATGTTCTCAGTTACACCACGTCGTCAAAGAAGGTTCGATAAGGTTCTCCTGTCTACGCTGCGAAATGCTTTCTCATAATCAAGGAACTTTATATACAGCTATGAATTCTACTCAACTGTTTGTTCAACAATGTTCCGTAATGTCATTTATGATCGGCACACGATCAGTCGTTACCAAGCCAAACCTGTATGCTGAGTCTTCCATCAGATTCAGCAGTACAAGTGAATAAACTTGAACAATGACGAAATAATTTTTTGTGGTATTTTAGTCTCACATAAATCTTTTAACTAGTATTTCGTGAAAAAGTGGCTCCCTCTAGTACATTTCACTTATTTAGTGAATAATTATGAGAAGTTTTGAGAGTACTTGTGAAGATAAATAAATCCCCGGAATAAATAGTTCTGTAAGTCTCCGACATTTGATGCTGACCGCATCAGTTTTACTAGGCACATCTAGCTGATGGCGCTCGGTCACGAAACCGCACCAGATCACGAGTAAGTATGCCGTGCTACGCACCCCTTGCAACTACTAGCCAGATTAGATTAAACTCTTCTCAAAATGTCAACAACCTTTCAAATATATTACTGAACACATTTATTCATGGCTTTTGATCTAACTGGGTCGGAGTCCTTTGATTGTATAGGTGTTACAGACGAAAGTGTTGTCAAATTCTGAATATCTGTAGCATCTTTAGCGATGAGCCATACGTGGTCTGATGCACTGAACGGTAAACTGTGGGTCTGTTCCCTGTTTTAATATTGTATGTCACATTTTACGTGTGGTGGTATTTTTGTATTCTCCACTTTTTTCGCCCATTTATATATTTCATCCTCATAATGAGGAACTGGCTACTCAAACTCCTGTAGATTAGGACTCTTACTCCTGTAGCTTTTCGACTCAAGCCATTATGATCTTATAATATCAAAGCCAGATTCTGCTGTGCAGAAGTTGACTTTCACAGGCATCGTGTGATAGACCCACGTGCACGACTCCTCGTAGTAGCAGTAGTAGTAGTAGTGGTAGTAGTAGTAGTAGTAGTATTAGTAGTAGTAAAGCACTGCCTCTATACTTTGATGGATATGTTACACTTAATATGTTCACTAGCGATGTTTCAGAACCTTACGTCATCCTAAAAAAGGTTATAATTAAACAGGAAGACCTAAGAAGTTGACAACGGTATGACCAGCTCTTCCACAAGACCGAATTTCCATACGGCTCAGCAACAGACATTTTGGTGCGTGTGTGGGAATCATTGATCAATGGGCTCTCAACGAAGGTCCCTTTGGACAACTCTGCTTCACCAACAGGTGAGAGCGGTGGTTGTCTCGTTTCGAAATAGCACCGTGGATGAACCGGCTGCATCTGCCTATAGAACTCTGAAGATCACCAGAACCCTCAGTACCGAGCTTTGTATGTCAAAGAAAGACCTCAAACTACATAAAACGACGTTTAAGACCTATCAAGGTACTGTCACTCGTTTTCTTACTATTCATCATAATCTCGGACTTTCCAAAACTCCATTAACAAGCATGTTGCGTAAAAGATCTGTCTGTGAACCACAAGAAACAGATATACCCGATCGGTGTTGGTACCATAACAAGTATGATGATTCTTCCGAAAATTGCAGAAAACCCTGCTGTTTCCTTCACCCTGAACCTTCTATCACGACAAGCCTTCCTGAAAAATTCCCCGCCGGTATGAGTTAAGGATAGCCGTAGCCGGTAAAAATATCCGTCCACCACACATTACTGAGTTGATGACAGAATTTCACCATTTCGTAGACACTGGCGCGGAAGTATGCATTCTTCCCACGGGTACTAACGACCGTCTACAAGATTTGGTCCTCAACTGACAGATGACGCGAGACTAATAGGTCCTGGGTTTGAATCTTACGGGGTGGGATTATGGATGCGCACTGTTGAAGAGTCCCATACTAGGACAAAACGGCCTTCCAGTGCTTCCAGGTCTTCCATGATGGCTTAGCTTCAATTGGCTTATGAGTCTAACTACTAAATTACTATAATACCCACAAAACCCATTTCTGATAATAAAAGTGGTTTGCCACATAAGTCAAAATATATGTCTACCATAACGTGGGTTGACGAAATCCCATTCACTGGATTTTTGTTATGGCAGATGTTTCTGTTAAAACACTGTAACCTACTGATCGACTCAAGCAAACGGAGGTTACTTACTTACTTACGCCTGTTACTCCCAATGGAGCATAGGCCGCTGACCAGCATTCTCCAACCCACTCTGTCCTGGGCCTTCTTTTCTAGCTCCATCCAAACGGAGGTTGGTGGATGGAAATACTAAATTATCTGTTTGTGGAACTTCATTTTCTGGTTGCAGATTATTCCCGGTCACAGTTTAACATTAGATCTATACTTCCATCAGACACTCGATGAGTACCTTTAAATATCGTGTGTAACCAGAATGTTACTCACTATATTACGACTACAAAACCGCCTGTCTTTTCGAAAGGGCGCTGACTAGCTCCTGAAAAGTTAAGATTGGTTAAAAACGAATTCGAGCACATGATAGACATGTGAATTATCCGGCCATCAAACCGCTCATGGCCATCTCCTTTGAACATGGCCCCTAGAAAACAAAGCAGAGATGACTAGCTTTGGATTGATAATTATCGGTGACTGAATACGAAAACTACTCATGATTTTCACCCCTGGCCACACGTCCACGACATGACAGCTACTTTGAGCGGTACAGCTGTTTTCTCAGGAATCGGTCTGGTTAAAACTCATAACTGGCCGCAGGTGACATTCCTACAACGTCTATTATCACTTCCTTAGGACTCTATGAGTGTTTGCACATGCTCTTCAGTTTAAAGAGTGCCGCAGAAACTCTTCAGAGAGTCATCGATGACGTATCCAGGGGTTTTAAATTCATGCACGCGTAGACAATTCTAAACATGAAGCCAGTTGGATAAAAGTACTCACATGTTAAAATATTCAAATAATCCGGAGCGATTCTGGTAGGCTCAAAACTTAGACATTTTCCAGTAAAGTTACCAAGCTGCACCTTAGGTGTAGACCGTTTAACGGCAGAGATCAAGATCTACCAAGCTACTAAACCAACAATAATGATATATACAACCAACTAGTTATAGTTCATCTGAGACAACAAATAACTTGGAATTTAGAGTCGAAGTAATGTACGTTTATCCAGTTTATATCTCTACGGGACTGAAAAAACGTATAGAAAGGCTTGCAACATATTATCTCATTTAAAACATGATCTGTTAGTGTCCGCAACTAACTACTTTCCATTTTGAAATTTATCTGAATCTTTATTCCTAAATCCATGGTGCCCATTTTTTCCGTTAAAGCATGAGTTGCTTTACTTTAGTGACCAAGGAAAATCTGAATCTCAAGAGATCATTGTGATACATTACTAATGGGAAACGAAAGTTGGGCTATAAGGGATTTTTCATTTCACGTGGTTAGAAGTTAAGTTATACTTTTTCATAACTAGCGTTTTGATGTATTTACACACACTATTGTTTCCAGACAAAGTGATGAGACTTAAAATACATCAACCCACTAAAAAAACACCTGTTATCTGTTAAGATTGTCATGAGAGTATTCAGCTGGCTAAAACGCATAATAGGCATTGTTTCACAGCCTACCCCTAAAAGCCTATTTGAAAGCTACCAATAGCTGTACCCATTCATATTACTTCAGGATTCATACAACTAAGACGGAAAATAAGTTGATTTTGTCCCTAAATGCACATATTCAAACATATCAAGCTAATTTTACTGAAGAGAACTGTCATACTTTATTGAATACTTCTAGGCTTCTCGTTGCTTCTTCTTCCAAAACGCGAATTCTGTTATGATTAAGTTCATGGTCCTCAGTTCTTTTGAAGTATTCACGTGCATCACATGCAACCCGAATGTTAGTTATAAAAGCGTCTCCATCACTAATAAGTTTGGATATCCTTTTACTACTCAGAACGATCTGAGATCTCCCCAACCCAATCTCTTTTTTGCTTGACTTAGTTTCATTAGAGTGAACGTCGCCTCTATTTTCATCGTAAAAAATTGTTATATATGATGAACTTGCCTTAAGCGCTCCAACCTGTTTTGTATTCTTATGCGTCGAGCGGCAATCCTTTGTTCTATATCGTCTGAATCTACTGAGGGTCCAACATCTTTTATTTCTTTCTCTTTGAAGTAAATTTTTTATTTTGGTCGTTCAAGGCCATCTTTTTGAAATAGCTCGGAAACAGTTTCTATGATTACAGAGAATGTCCAATGTATTCAGTAGAAAATATGTTTGCGATGAGTTTGTATCAACCACTTGATATTTTACATCGACTTCCTGATTTGTTTGCTAATGTGAAATGAACAGTAGTCTGATCGCTCGACTGCTCTACTTTCGATTATTTAGATAGATATTTTTGGATTTGTGCTTTCAGCAGTATGAATGAGCGTATCTAAACGTACATCGTAGGGTGCAAAACTTCGTGATGTGCAATTACTACAACAGCAAAGAGCATAAGCTGTACTACTATGTCGTTTCATACTTGTAGTGAGCTTCCGATTGAGATTATCGTTGAAAAATCAAGAATGTCAATGGTTGTGTATGGATATGAGGAATGAACAGTGAGTAAGCTTCGGGAATAAAACTACTACTGTCGAACATAATACTCCAAACTCACGTCATTGACACCGTTGCTAATGTTTGCAGACATGGGTAGTTGCAACGTGCTAATACCATCTTGCTAAAGAATCTCTGGAAGGTGCATGGCAAAAATGATATGTTACTGTAACCAAGGTCTGTTTCCTTCTACCCAGTTGGCCAGCCCATAGGAATTGGGCGTTTGTTAGTTCTTCCGAGCAAATTCGAGCTGAAGGTTCTGCGTAGTTTCTACCATTTACGATCTCGTAGAGTGATCCGCTCCCATGGTAAATCCACTAGTGCCAACTGGCATTAAAACTACAAGGGAGAACTAGGTTTTGTGAACCGGTTCCGGAAATGTGAAGTTTGGGATGAACAGCTGTAATGCATGGTTTAGGGTTCAAGGTCTTGGGGCTTCTCACGGACAGTGGTTCACAAAACAAGGTTGCTTCTGCAACAAAACGTTGATATTAATAAGTACATATTGGTTCGGGTCAATTGTAATGTCAGTACAAGTAAACTTTATCTGGATGTCAAGTAAGAAGCACTATCTTTCTGTACATTCATAAAACGAGGAGGAAACCTTTTTAGCGGCAAAGTATTTGTCTGTTCGATAGTTTTTGTAACATGGGACAAATATCATTAATACGATCATTCAAAATGTATGTGTGTTAACTGATGACCATTAATAATCCGTGACAGAATTTTGCAAATATATGCACAGCGTTTTTTAAATCTGTGTTGATGTTGGGTAAAAATATCAGACTTCAATGAATTTTGGAAAAGATATAGACCTAGGTAAATTTCGGGTTTTTTATTGTATATTCCTTAATTTCACCAAAATCTTACGATGAAACTGGCCGAAGTCTACCCAAAATTGACCCTTTTTGTCCCAAAGTTGGGACGCCAGCTTCTTTTACAACTTCTTAAAAATAGAATTTAACAATGGTCTCATGTATTTCTAATTTGTTGTGGTCTATCTTTTGTAGCATTTGGTCTATCTCTTGAAGTATAAAACCAGCTTCATATAATTAACATCAATATCTGACCTCCGCTGTAAGTGTAAGATAGACTAATATCACAGGACGAAGGGTGGCATTACTGGCCAGAAAATATGAGGGTTGGAAGATAATTTCAATTTAAGCAAGTTTGTGGAATAAAACATTTTGTTAAATTACGGCCTATTATGGTCTGACGGGATGTAACTGTACAATAGTACTGACGCCAATTTATTATGCCAAAAACGTTTTTGACTCATACTTGTTGCCCTGAGTGGGTTTGACTTCATGCCGATAAATCTTAATAAAAGCAAAACTGGTTAATTACGCTAAAATGAAGTCTATTCAAGACCCTACAAAATCCGTAATATTAGAAAGAAGTTTTGACGATAACAGGAGAGAAAGCCATTTGTGTATCCGAATATTGTGTTTTCAATATCATATTATATTACAAAACTACATACAATCCTCAACTCTCGACTTCTTTTCTCGTCACCTTCATTAATAAGTTCGTTGTCCATTCATCGCCATGTTTAGTTTTGTTCTCTTTAACCTATTAAAATTCTCTTGCTTAAAAACCGGATTACCAAAAGAGAATAAGTCTAAGTAGTCATACCCTATTTATTTCATCACAAGGACTCAACTTTACTAGTCATGAACATTTTTGCCTCGCTTCTCGTCCTATCTTTTTTACTCTCCTTTTCAGCACCCTCGTGATGTGCCACCGAAAACACATACGGAGCATGTAACTTGAAGTTGAGCCACCATTAACACCTCAGATATGCTAGAGGGATATAATGTTGCGTTTACGTGAGTTCATTCTAGACCATCGATTACACATAGCAAGCGCCAACTCTTACATTGACAATTCGAGTCTTGCTAACATTTTTACATTCATATGTGAGGGCTATTGTAAACAGTGCGCCTTAAAACATATCAACCTATCTAAGTAACTAACTACAGTGAAGCCTGTATTATTTGTAACAATTTGATCTTGCCTGTAGACTTACATACCACATGTAGTATATTGTTGTTTGAGAATATATTGTCATTTTCTGAAATTTTTATCAAAAAAGATATTGGGTTTGTCGACCTATATTTTTGTCTTCTGGTTACTGTTCAGTATGCTAATTGTCTCTCCCTGTTTGCTGGACTGTATTAATTGTTTATTTTACATACTTACAGTGCTAATTTATATTTGAGAAACAGGGTTTATCAAGCGAAATAGTTTACTTGTTCTGACCTTGGCTAAAATAAAACTCTGTGATAGACAGTCTGGGGAATAGTTCGGAATCATAACTGTAGGAAACTGCTCCCTAAAATCTGTTTCGTTGATAAGAGGAAGTCATCCTACTTTACTACTGGTTTATGTTTGGTTAGAATCGGAGTAAAACATGAATGTAATGAGTTACCAATTCCGAATGACTTTAGTATTTCATGTGACACCTTGCCGAAAGCCTTCTTAAAGTCGACCAACAGAACTGATATGTGGAGTTCGTTGCCTTGCTTTCAAGTTATATCATTCAGATAGTCGAGTAGGTGCCTATCGTATGACCTAGTCATTAAAAGCCCATTCTAGTAAGTAGATATGAGATTATTAGCAAGTATATATTGAATTACTGTCATCTTCACCATTTTCTCAACCCTCTAGATATTTCAGAGATGATGTTCGTAGGCTAGCCGTTTTCAATATTTGCTTGGGCTCTTGATATAATCCTCGGAATTACGTGTAGTTTAACAGGAAGCGACAAAACATGCTGTCATGAGTGATATTCCAAATCGTCCTGAAAGTATTAACCAGAGATTACCTCCACCTTTTTTTAGCATACTAGTTGATATACCGTCTGTTCTTTTTAGCTTGCTAAAAACTTTAAAAATATTGTACGCATTAGAGTTTGTATGAGTGAATTTGCAAGAAGGCAACGGGACAGACTCTGATTCATTTAGTGGTTTTTCGCCTGATACTGAGTCAAAAACGTATCCACTAAATCGTTCCGTAATAATTCTAGGGTCTTCGTATACTTGAAAGTCTTTAATGAATATGTTTCCTCCCATAAGATTATACCGAAGGATCTTGATAATTTAAAAATATCATTATTAATTTTGTCAGTGAGATTTTCCTGTGGGACCGTTTCTTAAATTCGCATTACTCCTTCCTTAACACATATTTTTGTCACCTTGATTACAAAAGAAAAATTGTCAAGTGAATTGAATAGATTAGCATGTCTCCGAAGACGTCCACCTTAACCAACCGGCTTGTGCAGATACTCTAATAAATCATGGTCAATCACAAGGTCTCATGGGGCGGCAAATCAAATCCATAGTATCCATTTAAGAACATTACTTGTGGGAAGTCATTAAAATATGGCTTTGGACCATAAGATGCTTACATCATCTTCTTTGCCGTTTTTATTAATGGTCTAAAGTTTCTCCTCGCGCTTGTAAACGTTATACAGTCTTTGATTAGCTGTTTTAAGAAATCTTTATAAAGAATTGCGGCATATGTAACGCGTTTATTACAACACGTTCTACGTTCGATAAAAATTTTGACGCTCTTACGCATATATGAAGTCAGCCTAATTAAGCACAACCCCCATGAACATGAATCACAAATCCAAGTCTGGATGGAGTGACGTAGTTAATAACTCCACAAATTCACCTGTAAATCTTACAGTAGTCCGGCCCACAAATTCGGCTACACTGTACTAGTCACCATACGTAGATCCTTCGCAATTGCCGAACAAAACTATTGGGAGCATATTTAAGCACTTTAATACAACTCCATTTGACAGGGAGGCAGTAAACCAGATATCTAAATGTCCTGCACTACCACATACTTCAAGAATTCTAATGGTTGTTCAGATTCGAGTTGCATCTCAACAGCTAACCAAGATATGTATTACGTTGAATTCAAAACTTTTTCCATGGTTTACCCGAGATCCATTTACGGCAACTGGTGTTCGTCTGTCCTTTAATAACTATTAGGAATATTAATCCGCTTGGATGCATTCGGTTTCACCAAGTATGTTGCATCATCTAGGTGATATATCTAGATCTTCATTACATTCTTCATTTTATCGTACACTTGATATGTGGATATCACCCAGATAAAATCAGACCAATAATGATGCATAATCAGTGAGACAATTTACATTTCAAATAGACCAACAGCGCTCTTATGACCACATTGACTTCAAAGTTACTATGTAATCAATTATAAATCTGTTTCCAAGATTAATCTCTCCTTAAATGGAGATCATCAAATCATTAGTTTTAGACCATGATTGAAAATCTGAAAGTACTAGACGGCCGATTGGTGGTAGTATGGGACTCCTTGGTAGTGGGCACCCACAATCTCACACTAAGCACTCGAAAACAGGATCTTTGGTTTCACGCGAATGCTTATCTCTAGATCAGTTAGATGGCATCCAAGGATGTTAAGGCGAAACTTCAACCAATCATTGATATTATTCAACCACCATCCATTTAGTGAATGCCTCACACCTGGCACGGTCAAACTCCACTAGTCATAGCTTCTCACTACAACTCCGAACATTGACTCTGGAAGCTAGTCATTAGTTAGCACATGATAAGACCAGGAATGCTTATAAAGCATTAATAAGTAAGACTAGGTTGTCGTATGAAAAACAATTGGTTAGGGACTGTAAAATTAGTCCGAAACGGCTATTCTCGTAAACAAAATGGCGAACTCAGAGAAGGGATGGAGGTCCATCACCTTTGGTACAAGAAAATCCGTAAATATTGGCAACAGATGATGCCAAAATCGCTGAAGCTTTATCAGAATACTTCAGTAAAATGTTTTCTGTCAGCAATGAGAAACGGCCAACGATTAATTTTGGTTGTGGCGGCTTGTTGATAGATCCTGCAGTTATTGACAAAGGGACTGTCCCAAGAATACTTCAGCATCCCAAATCTGATAAGTCCAATGGTCGTGGTGATATTCATCCTATAATTATGAAAGCCCCACCGGATGTACTTGCTCAATTTATAGCCATACTGTTTGATATGTCTCTGAGACCGTCCAGATTGTCAAGGGACTGGAAAGACGCAATAGTCAGTCCGGTGTATGCTGCAGGGATTAGAGACTTAGTTAGTATTTATCAATCCCTTAGTCTAACTAATGTATTTGAAAAACTAATGGCTGCTGCAAACTATGTCGAAGGGCATAATCTTTTATTCAGGGAACAATATAGTTTTCGGAAAGACCCATCGTATTTGAATGACCCACCAACTACAAGAGATTGAGCTATGACTAAAGATAGGAATATTCCTGTAGATGTGGTTTTCATAGATCTAAGTAAAGTCTTTGATCAGGTCGCTCATTCAGGTCTTAAATTAAACGTGGAAAGTTTTGGAATTGATTATAAGGTCATAGACCGGATAAGTGACTTTCTCCATGACAAGGAAGACAGTAAGGGTAAATGGGGCTCTCTCATCGTGGGAACCTGTAAAAGGTGGAGTTCCCCAAGGCACAATCCTCGGTCTTCTTCTCTTTTTACTTTATACAGATGAATGATTAACCGTACCAAAGTCATTGGTTCTACTCTTCGCCAACGATATAAAGATTTGCAGTCCCATACACAGTATGTCAGATACAATGGTATTACAGGACGATCTCAACTCATTGGTGGCATAGATGGACGAATGGTCACTTGAAGTGGATCATAACAAGAGTGTGGTGATGATCCGTACCACTACACAATATGTGGATTCGTATTGCCCTAAAGTAAGAAACTATGAAGACTTGAAAGTCATAATAAGGAGCGATCTCAAAACTAATAGTAACTGTTAGGCTGCTGCTGCAAAAGGCTATAGGGTATCATAGGGTATTCGTAGGTCTTTTCAGTAATTGGATGGAGAAATTTTTAGGTTATTATACCCCGACATTCATGAGATCGCATTTAGAATACGGGATTCAAGCAGCGGGTGCTTGTTTCAAGTATGATGCGGATATGCTGGAACGAGTCCAACGACGAGGGACTAAAATAGTAAAAGGTCTCCCTGAGCCATCTTATGAAGATAGACTGAGACACCTCACATTATTTCAGTTATGGTTTACTGAGCGATGACCTTGATACTGATGTTTCCATCTTTTCCCTTCATCAAAGACTAACCATCTGAGAGGGCATTCGACGGAAGTTCAAAAACCAAGATCAAATCATAAACGTCTGGAGTTTATTTTTTCGCACCGAGTAGTGAATTACTGGAATTTCCTACCAGAACACGTAATACCAGCACTTTCTGTCGATATATTGAAAACGAGATTGAACCTCCACAGTGTTACAAACTGCAAGGAGTGATATAGGTTGAAAGACCACCTATCCTTATTACTGAAGACTGGATGATAATTATCAATCTCAATTACAACTCAACAATTTCTACAACACTATACCGATAAGCTTCTCTTATTTCAGCCCCAACTTGCCACCATAAATAGTGGTCACGAGAAATAGCATTCTTTCCACCAATAACTTTGTGAATTCAGTTTACAATTTCGATCGGAGTGCAGTTGTTTTATTAAATCGATTCAGCTCTTCAAAAGGCTAACCTTGGAGCGTTCAACCTATTCCCGAGTGCGTCGGTTTGCCGTCCTGTCAAGAAGTGACAAAACAGTTCCCCTACATTGTTATGTCGCTTGAGAATGATAATGTTCACGTTGTAAAAAATGATGCTTCTCTGGATCCATCGTAAGTCTTTTCGACGATTTCACCAAGGTTCACAAATTTGGTGGCATAAATCCCAATCTCCCTATTTTGGGGGGAATTTTGTCCATTTTAGGGAAACCGCTATGGAAAACTTCGGGGAAACAGCGCCAAAACCTCAGAATTCCCCCAAGTTTTGGAATAGTTACCAAAATATCTGGGGAAGTTTTTGGTTTTCCCTAACAATTTCACGGAATGTTATAATAATTTGGGGAAAACCCCAAAATTTGTGCAAGATAATGAGATTAGGATGTTCTGGAAGTTTCTTCAAGGATAAATGAATTTTGGGACGACCAACTGGTGAACTTTGTTTATTGTTTAACAGGATTCGGCCAATATTTATGGACTGTAAGGACTCAGTCTGCTATATTCCTAAAAGATAAAGGATGCCCATATGGTCAGAGTAATTTATAAATCACTTTAGTGCTTCTGTGAAAAACCGTTTGCTCCGTATCAGATTTTTGAGATACCTCAATCACAGTCCATTTTAGTCCCCACGTTGTTCATTTTTGTGGATTTTAGAAAGAGCAGTAATTTCGTACTTGTGAACTAACTTTACGTCTGTGTATTTGTTGCATCCAAAGTATATTTAGTTTACTTTAACCTGAATCACTTCGTTTAGGTTTTGGAATTTTCCTCGAGTCCGTTTCGTGACACTATTTGATTCCCATTTTAGTAGCTATCTTGTGCATTTTTGTCAGTTTTTCCCCTTTTAAGTTCATTTAAAACGTAAGCTGTGCTTATGAATGTGGATAGTCAGAGTGTTTCTTGTGGAAAAAGGAATGCAATGTGATATGTGTAAAATGTGGTTATACAAGGACTATACTTGTTTAAAACCCACCTCAAACAAAAGATGCTCGAAGCTTAAATCTCAATAGCTTTGTATGTTTTACTGTTCAAGTAAGACATAGTAAAAATTATTTGAGTATATTTAATTCTACAGCATCTGAACAGTACAGATTCGATAGGAACACGTGTGGAGCATCAATAAGTAAGCCCAGACTTTCGCATGAAAAGCAATTGGTTAAGGATTGTGAAAGTAGTCCGAAAAAATCGTCCTCATATATTAAGTGGCGCACTCAGAGAGCTAATGGGATCCTACCACTTTTGGTGCAAGAAAATCCGTCGATACTCTAATAAAGTGTTTTCTGTCAACGATGGTAAAGGACTAACAATGGATTGTAATAATGGTGGCTTGTCGATAGATCTTGTGGTTATTGAGAAAGGAGCTGTCTTATGACTACTTTAACGTTCCAAACCAGATAAGCCTCTTGGTCCCGACGATACTCATTTTAAGATTATAAAAGCCCTGATGGATATAATTGTTGAACCCCTGGTAATACTGTTCGGCGCGTCTTTGAGACAGTCTAAACTCCAATGAAACTGGAGAGACGTAATTCTTGATTCTATTTATAAGATGGGGAGCAGAGACTTAGTAACTATCGACCCGCTATTCTAACCAGTGTAGTTGTTAAACCAATGATAAAGATTATTGGGATCACTATGTAGAAAAAGTACTTTTAATCATCAAGTTGTAGGTCGCACTCCGCTGACTTATTTTGGTTTCAGCAGCCGAGTAAAATTGTAAACCCTAATAAAAATATGACTAAAAGCGGAGTATTTGAACATTTTCTTAGTTTCTGGGTTACACTAACCACCAACTTTTACTATCGAGGCTTTTACAAGAACCCATAAGTTGTCTCTATATTCAGGAAATCGACCAACGATTACAATGCAGTATTTAATTTTGTTTTCATAAGACTTCGGAAATATCGCTAACTTAACTGATATTCTTTAGGTGTGTCATATTTCTAAAATGTCCATTGCCTAATCCTAGTAA